CTGCATTGCTCACATGGTCTTGGATCTTGCTGCCTTTGGAATGGAACTGGACTGGGAGGTGCTCTCAGGTCCCTGTCGGGTGTTCAGGGTAAGAGCTGCTTGGGGATGGGCCTGTGCAGGGCTGAGGGTTGGACTCCAGGATCCTTGTGGGTCCCTTCCAACTCAGCATATTCTGGAATTCTCTGATGTGGGTGCTGGGCTCCCAGAACACCTGGATCACCCTCTGGTGCCTCTCCTGCTGCCTCAGCCACAGTTCCCAAATCCCTGATGCTCTCCTTGGACAGGGGCTGCAACCAGGGCTTTGCAAACAGTCAAATATGGCCAAGAATAGCCTAAATATGGTCACTAACCAGTTCTCCAAGTGTTTGTGCATCCCAGTTCCTGCATTCCAATACCCCCTTCCCGAGGTGGGTGGTAGCAGTGCCCTGTGAGGTCCCAGGGGAGCTGGACTGTCCCGGGTCACTCCGATAACAGCAGCACTGCCGGGGCAGATGACAGATAACATCCCTGTTCCTTTGTGTGGTGTGTCCAGGGGCATAATTGGGATGTTATTGCCAAACAGGAGGAAGCCCTGACTGTGCCAATAACGTACCACAGGAAAAAGGAAATCTAAACCGGAGGGGCTGGACAACATGGAAAATATTTCTAATAATTAACTAAAAAGTGGGGCATTCCAGTGAGCAGTCTTCAGGTGTGGCACTTTGGACAGAGATCCCATCAGCATCCTGAGGTGATAATGATGGAGCAGCACCCCAGGCACGCTCCAACTGTTTGTTATCCTGCCGTGGTGAACTACACTGGGAGCACCAGGGGGGCATTTTTCCTGTAAGATGAAAAGCCAGGACCACACCAATGCATCCAGCTGATCAACACCTTTGCCTCTTCCACATCACCAGCCCAGTGCTGGTGACCTTAAAACTTTGTGCCTTTGCCAATGAGGGATTCAATTAGAGAAGTTATTGATGGTATTTATTTCAGAATGACAGAATATTCTGAGTTGGAAGGGACCTACAAGGATCATCGAGTCCAGCTCGTAAGTGAATGGCCCTTACGGGGATCAAACCCACAACTCTGGCCTGCTCTAATCTCATTTATTTGAGTCCAAATCCTTGTGGGTATTTGCACACCCTGCAAAATACTTTGATAAAATAGTTGCAATAGCTGATGTCTGCTCAGAAGGAGCCCTGGAAAGAGCAGCTTGGCAGAGGGGACTTGAGGATTAGCAATTGGAATGTTCTCTTACCTTGGATCCCTGGGATTCCTGCTGGGGTTGTCTTGGCTGGAAGTATGGTGTTAAAAAATTCTCATTCCCATTTTTCTGCCCCCTCTGGAGGATTGTTCTGCCCTGCAGTGGGAATTGCTCTGCCCTGCAGTGGGAGTTGCTCTGCTCTGCAGTGGGGGGATGCAGCAGTGGAACTCCACTACCTGTGGTTTCAGGAGTTCTGACATCCTTCTGGTCCCCATTACTGCACCCAGGAGATAAATTCCTGTGCAAACCACATATCACTTGCTGAGCATGCTGTTTTTAAAAATGAGATTCATGTGAAACTGTGTAGGAATAGTTCTGCAAAGAGTATTCCAGAGTTACTTTTTAAAAAGTGCTGAAAGATCCATTAGAAAGAGGAGACTTGTGTTGCACATTCCGTGTTCCACCGAGCTGGGAAGCTCAGGGTAATAAAGCTGCTCCTTATTGGCGTTACAGCTAATTGTGTGTAATTACTCATTAACACAGCTCTGCACTGCCGAGCACTCTGCTCACATGGCTGGGTACAAATCAGTTAGTGACGGCACTCCAGGCATTCTGAGCAAGAACAGGGAAAAAAGCAAGGAAACAACCCAGTCTTCCGACTAAGTCCCAGGATTATCAGCCAGCACCAAACTGCCGCCAAGCTGGTATTTACCTGCAGCATTTGGGGGAGTTCCTCCTGTCACTGCCCCCCTCCAGGTGGGTTTGCAGGTCCTTTGTGCTGTGTTTGGTTCGCAGTTTCTTTTTCAGCTGTCAGGTTTTTGTGGTCCGCGACTGTTCTCCCTGTAACGGTGTCGGAAGGAGCGTTGCTGAGTTCGAGCCTTGCACGAGGGTAAATCTGGGTGTCTGTTGATCTGGGAGATCTTGGCAGCTCTCCCAGACTCATCATCTCGATGCCTGCAGGTTCTTCAGCACTGTGTGTGCATCACTTAAGTAAAAGATGGATCCATTTCACTATAGGGGAAGACAAACACACGAGTGTGTGGGATGGCTTTTAGATCAGCAGATGAATTTAAAAAACACTCCACTGTAACCAAATGGAACGATTTTTAAAGGTGGGTAAGATGCACATTTTGCACGAAAAACATGTAATTTGAAGCAGATCACCTGACAATATTGCCAGGATAGGTAAGAGAAAACAAAGTCTGAATGTAAGGCGGGAGATGACGTGGTTGGCATGTCAAGCTCTGAAAAGCCACGGCTGTCCTGAGGAACTGTCTGGTGGTGTTCTCTGGGATTTGTTCTTTTTAAGTTCATACAGTAGAAATGCATCTCCTGCAGCCTTCTGGAGTCAAAATGAGCAACTGCAGTGGTGCCTTAAGGAATTTGTTGTGCTGGAGTGTCTTTCTTATTAAAAGGCAGAGGGGCTTTGTATGTGAAGTATTGGTAACAAATGTGTGAAGCCATCAAAGATCCTACCAGGATGGATCAGGAGATGGTGCTTCAGAGGGCATTTGGCTGGTGCAGCTGGAAAACACGAGTTTGTTTTTATAACAGAACAGCTTCCCTACAGATTATTCCTCAAACTCTTTCATGGGTTTAAATTATATTATGAATGTAATTAGTTAATAGAAGGGTGGGAAATTAAAGCTGTCTGCAAGGGAAATGCAGTCAATTGAAGTATAAAGTGAACAGAAATTTGGAATTTGAAGTGAAGTGGAAGTCAGTCAAGAAGGACAATGTGGAAAACAATGGGCACCAGGAGGGTTCTGCAGAGTTCCTTGTTCCTCTGTGGAAACTGTGCAAGGAGTGATGGCTGGGGCAGGGAGGAGGTCTCCAGTCCAAGGGAATATTAACATGGGCTGGGATTTAAACACAGGAGGAACCTGGTTGATGTAACCAGGACCACATCTGTGGTCCTGGATTGGCACTGGAACTGTTGTTCAGGAGCAGGGATGGTTGTTGGAAGATCCCCTGGCCTTCACTCAGGTCTCTACTGAGTGATCTGCACCAGCAAGGGGAACCCTGGGGGAATGGGGCTCTGTCCAAGTCCAGAAGAGCTAAATGTGGTGCATTTCTGCAGGAAATCTAATTATGGAACATAAAAATAGGGGGTTTTAGATAAAAATAGATTTTGCAATGAATGTGAAATTACTGGTGTCTATTGATTGGGAGGGGCTGCTGGAGAATACTTAATTGGGATCTTTAGCTATCAGAGTGTGGGAAGGATAATTAAGAAGATACCCTTGAGTGTGTCTCTGTGTGATCCGGATTTTAAATACCAAAATCTGTGTGTTCCTGGCTCTGGGCTCTGTCTGAGCTTTGCCTGTGGACTGTGGTTATGTGGTGCAGATCTGATAAAAGCCAAGGGTTTGTTCTTACGTTGTTGTCAGGAGTTGCCTAAGAAATAGAAGAGAAAAACTGAGAGTCCTGCCAATTCCAGACCTACGTGTGAGCTGATGCTTGGTTTGACAAGGGGTTTTTGACAATTTAAAATCAGGTTTTTGTTGATGGAAGACTTGTGAGTGTGTCTGCCTGAAGGTTGGGTTGTTCAGGCAATGTTTTCTCCTTTAGTCATGTTGTTTGTGAGATTTTCTCCTTGTGTATCAAGACACAAGTCCACATGTTCTGGGGGAGATGCTGCAGCTCTCAGCAACAGCTCTGCTGGAAAACCAGAGCCATTTTAGTTAGTTCCCATAATTAATAAGTGAATAGATGTATTTGGCAGCGTGGATTCCCGTGTGGAAAAAGTCATCAGGTGGCTTAAGCTTGATAAATAGTTAAAAATCCATAAAAACTCAGGGTATCCTGAGCTTTGGGGTTTTGTTACTAATTGTGCTGCTTGTAATACTTGGTGGTAATTGGGGTCCAGCTGCTCAGAGTATCAGTGTTAGATTTACTGGATGGATTGCTTTAATAGGATTTGGAGAGCAGCTCTTGGTACAATGCAGCCTGTGCTGTCAACTCCCAACCTTTTAATGCAATAATCCCTGGGATTTATCCTGGTTTGGAGTAGCAGCACAGGAACACGACGTGATTTAGGCTGAGAAGTTTGGAGAGGGTGGGAATAATCCGTAGCCAGAGCTGTTTATGTTGTTAGTGTTGCTGTAAAGGATGGAAGAGGTTTTATGGGAGTGTTGGTGGCAGGAAAGCAGCGCCCTTGGTGAAAGGCAGGGAAGAGGCTGTGGATGCAGTGCCCTGGGATTGTCACTGCTCTGGGCAGGGGCAGAACCCACCCACTCCAGAAAGCAGCTACAGATGAAATGACTGCAGGGTTTAATTGCTCAACCTGAATGAGTTTGCACTTAAAGCAATTTGGTGTGTCAGTCTGTCATTTTTTTATGATTGAGAAGAGTATAAATGAATCCTGCATGTTAATGAGCTAATGTTCAAAACTGGGACTGGGTGTATGTTTGAATAATTAATACGAGTTGGGTTTTTGCTGTTAAGGGTGTGGTATCACATGTGGTCTACAAAGCAATGGCAGTATTGTTTGCTGCTGGTATGTCCTCTCCTGAGGTCAGATTTTATCCCCAGTTTCACCCTTCCCTCCCCCCTGCCACTTCATTACAATGGAGATTTGGTCTGCTTGCTCCAAGTGATGTCCTGTAATACCCCATTAGTGGTCAGTAGTTACCTCTGCCTGCATGTCAGCCTTCAGTTTAATGGCCTTTTTTGTGTGTTCATTTTCTTTTGTTTCCCATCGTGGTTTTGTTTATTTCTTTGTGTTTTTTTTTTTCCCCTGTTCTCTTTTTTTTTTTTAAACCGTGGTGATGTTTGCCCTTCATGTTCCCCAATGTTTGCACATGACAAGATGTTGCCATCCCAACATTGCCTCCCACTTCACTGACCAGTGCCACTAATGACCATCTAGCACCAGCCACAGCAGGACCCCTGCCCTCGGCCCCGCGGGACGTCGTGGCCACCCTCGTGTCCACCCGCTTCATCAGGCTCACCTGGAGGCCACCAGTGTCAGACCCTCAGGGGGACAACCTCACCTACTCCATCTTCTACACCAAGGAAGGGATCAACAGGTAAAGACTCTTCTTCACTCTGGTTTTGCTTGGAAACGTTGTAACCCGACGTGTTCAACCTGCGATGGGAGGGGTTGTGTTCCCCTCCCTCCTGCACCCTGAGTTTTATTGGCTTTGTTGCTGCACGTAGGAATTTTTACAGGCAGGGGTTGATTGACTGCAAACAGTTGCTACCTGCTTTTAGCAGCCTGTTAGAAGGTGAGAGCAGCAGAGGCTGTCACAGCTCGTCAGGAGCACTGGCACTGCTGTCAGTGCCACCTCAGCGGGCACAGGAACATCCTCCAGAAGCCATGTGCTGGTGGGAGCGACAGGCACGTGAATTCACTCTGATCCCAGGGACAAACGTGTGGTAGGTGTTGGCTAAATGCCATCGAAGGTGTTGGTTAAATGTTGATTCCTTCCTAATAATCCCTATAAAAAGAAATTACATTAATTACTCCCAGTCATAAGCTTTTGACATATTATCCCAGTGGATAATATCGATCTACCCCTTTCCCTTCCTGACGGGATCTACTGCTCAGTGTTACAGGTTCAAATTGTTGAGATAAGTTGGATTGTTCAATTGTTGTGATAAGTTGGAGGAAGCTGGAGCTAACAATCATTTGGAGCAGTGCTTAATTAATTGCAAATTAGCTTATCAGATTTATTACCCAAGGGAAAGTTATCTGTCTCCTTACTGAGGAGAGCATGGGACTCAAAGTTAACAAAGTCATTGGAAGAGAACGGAAAACACACTGCTGCTAGTGGGGAATTTGTGCTCTTCCTTAATTCTGTGGATAGACATCTAGTCCAAGCTCATGGCAATTAATTGAGGCAATTAGTAACATTTTCTTTGCCTCCCAGTTGTTGGTTTTTTACTACTTCCTTACTTGGGGAATATCCAAGTTGTTCAAGGCCAGATTGGAGCAACCTGGTCTAGTGGAAGGTGTCCCTGCCCATGGCAGGGGGTGGAACTGGATGGGCTTTAAGGTCCTTCCACCCCAAACCAGTCTGTGACTGTGATTCTGTTCATTCTTATTGGAGGTATTTTAAGTGAGACAGGGAAAAGGTGGGATCTTGCCAGCCATCCTTGCTTCTTGCCTCCCCTCCTTCATGTTCCTGGTTGTAACTGCTCCACTCGGTGGGTTTTTAGGAAGGGATTTGCTGGAGATGACTCAGGACCTCTCCCTGCCCTGCTTTTGAGGACACAAAATTTGTCCCCTTTCACTACATACCAAATTTATAACAATCTAGAAAATATTCCTCTTGGACCAACAGAACTAAGGGTAAGAGTGATCTCCTAATTCCTGGTGAATAAATTAGGGAATTACAGGACATTCTGCAGAACCTGCTGCTCCCAGTTCCTGCAGAGCATCCCTTGGGACTCAGGTCAGTGGCACCCACAAAGTGTACACATCCAAACCCTTAAGCTGGTGCTTTATGTGTAAGCAGGTGATTGCACTGACTTTGTGAGATCTTTGTTTGCTTCAGTGCCCTTCTGGATCAGGGCTCAGTGCAGGCTCTGAGGGCCTTTCATTAGCACACACTCACCCCGTTCTCCACTTGCTTTTTGGAAGCTGTTTTTTTCTAATGCCTCATAAAGACAGTTGGTATCACACCTTTCACAGATGAGTATGGAAATACTGTGAGGTCCTGCTTTCAACCTGGATTTAGAGAATGAGAAGAGTAAAATTAAAAAAAAACAAAAACGGAAGAAGAAGAAGAAAGGAAGTAAAAGGCTCAGTTTACCATTTTGATGTTCTGTGGTAGTTTTTGACCAGTTGGTTGGGCCTTGTGGAAATGCTGCTGGTTAGTGAGTACAGAACTAGAGGAGCTGTCACACCCCCCTGGGCAGTCAGAAGTCAAAGAGTTTTGAAGCCAGGCTTGACTGTGCCACCCTCCTTCCTTCCTCAGCTCTACAAACCCCTGTTTAAATGGTGGCTTTGTAGCCCCTGAGTTGTAGATGATGGTGCATTTGCTGTGGTTTAAGTGCATATGTACCATCTCCTCACGCTGTCACATTTTGCCTCCTCATACCTTTTCCAGCGCCTGCTTTACTGGAACCTTTTAGTAACCCAGGTGTTGTCTCTTCCTCACTTGTACTTGAGCAGTGATCAAACCAGGTGTTTGATTTATTGACCTCTTAAGTCAGGTTTGTGGAAATGAACAAAGTCCATATGAGATGGAGGGGGTTTGTAGGTACTCTGGTATCTCTAAACCATCTGTGAAGGGCTGTAGAGAGTCACCCTCATGTCCTGAGCTGCAGGAGCACATCAGTCCCTCCAGCATGAGGAGTGTGGGTCTGAGGGACCAACTGCCTCAGCCACCACTGATTTACCTTCCTTTTGTTTTGCCTGTTCAGTGGAAGGAGATACAGGAACAGGGTGCTCCTCACCTTTGCCCTTTGAACTTATTCGAGGGGGGGATTCTGCCCCACTCAGGTGAGACCCCCCTGCAGAGCTGCCTCCAGCTCTGGGGTCCAACAGCACAAGGACATGGAGCTGCTGGAGCGAGTCCAGAGGAGGCCACAGAGCTGCTCCGAGGGCTGGAGCCCCTCTGCTCTGGAGCCAGGCTGGGAGAGCTGGGGGTGTACCTCGAGAAGAGAAGGCCTCCAGAGGCCCTTAGAGCCCCTTCCTGGAGGCAGAGGACAAGAGGGAATGCCTTTAAGCTGAAAGAGGCTAGATTTAGTTTGGATATTGGGAAGAAATTCTTGGTTCTGAGGGTGGTGAGGCCCTGGCCCAGGTTGCCCAGAGAAGCTGTGGCTGCCCCATCCCTGGAAGTGTCCAAGACCAGGTTAGAGGGGTTTGGAGCAACCTGGGCTAGTGGAAGGTGTCCCTGCCCATGGCAGGGGGTGAAACGAGATGAGCTTTCGGGTCCCTTCCAACCCAGACCATTCCATGATTCCAAGAGGAGCATTTCAGAGTGTGGAAATGGCTGTGGAGGTGACGTGTTTCTGCTTCTCTGGCTGCACAAACATCACCAGCCAGTGCCTTGTCCCACCTTGGCTTGGTGACATCAGAGAGACTCCTGCTGAGGCAGTGATGTGGGAGTGAAGTGGTGTCTCATGGCTTTACTGTCACACCTCTGGAGGACCCCAAGTAATCTTACACAGTTACAGAGTTATTTCATCCTCGTGTTAGGGATTTATTCCACCCTGAAGGCAGTTCCCCTGGAAAGGGTGTGAAAATTGAAATGTGCTGCAGGGAGGTTGAATTCTGTGAAACTTTAGCCAAGCATTCGGGCAGAAGAACTCCAGACTTCAAGATTTGGACAAAAATAAAAGAAATAAGCAGCACGTTGCTGGTACAAGAGGGTAAATTACACGTGTGAGATACTCAAATACTGTTAAATTCACGGTTCACCGTAGTGTGCTTCAAAGGCAGAAAATGGGGTTTAATTGTGTGTAATCACACTGTCAGAACGTCTCTGGAGCTCCCTGCCAGGCTCCACAGCTGACAGGGCTGGCACAGGCAATATCCTCTTTTTAATAATTCTCTGAGCGTTGTTTTTTACGAGGAAGTGCAACTTTAAACTTGGCATTTCCAGACAAACCCGTGTTTGGGGGTTGAACTGATGGCTCTCCCCTGAGGTGCTTGATATAGCTGCTGTAAACCTTAACTGGAGTTTGCAGAGCTCTTTAGCTGGGATTAAACTGGACTCATAGAACAGGGGTAATGCAGTTACTCATGGAGCCCATCTCCCTGTACCTGTTATCCCATCAGGTACAGCAGCACTCAGAAAAGGTACTCCAGGCTCCCCAGGAAAGGGCATAAAGGAGAGATTCATGCAGCACTTAATTAGATTAATCTCACCATATTTTTACCATAATGTTATGAAGGCACATTTCTAGTTATTACTGAAAATTGCAGTACTTTGACGTGTCTATTTATTTTTGGTAAATGTTGTCTTTCTAGTAAAATAATTCTGATTTTTTTTTCCTTCTAATTTTAAACAATAACCTTGGTTTGCTGATTATCTTTTTTCCCAGACAAAATCAGGGAGTGCACTTACCCTTGAGGCAGAAAATGCAATATTTTGCATGTCAATGGGAGCCGGATGTTATTCCACAGCTGTGGATCTGTTGGCACTTAGTCTGGGCTTTCAGATCCCATCCTTGTAGCTACAGCTCATCTTAAAGGAAACTCCATTGGGGAAGGTGCTTTCAGGAAAACGTTTTGCTAGAAGTGGAAAAATTAGTGATGAAAATGAATAAAAATCTGAAATAAATTCAGCTGTTGATGCAGAGCCATTCTAGCTCAGCTTCATGGAGGGGAACATTCTAGAAAATGAGTGTAAATAGATGTTTAGTTACAGTGAGTGCATTGTTTCCCTCTCTGTAGATGCGATGTAATAATGCAGAAATCAACAGGGATTTCAAAATGTTTTCAGCCAAGTTATGCTAAATCAACCACACCGGTTGATCTAAGAAGAAATAAATTTAAAATGGGGATTTTGGCATCGTATTTCCATGATAGAAACTGAAGCAGGATGGCTGGGAGGTGGAAAGGAGAGATGCTGGAATGATTCTTCCCAGGTTTCTGCATCAGAAATGCTTTAATGGGAGGTGACAATGGGACGAGAGTCATTGTCCCTGCAGAGCCAAACAGAGCCTGGCAGGCCAAAGGGGAAGGATTGTATTCTGAGCAGGCACCTTCCCTCTGATTTTCTCAATGGGAAGTTTCTGATTTCTCCTTTTGTAGCACTGCTGTTCACATTCTCAGGGAGCGGGAGCTCCTTTCCAGGGAAGGACGGACGTGTGGAGCCATTGTTGTTGAAACGCAGCTCCAACGAGTTCAGGTGCCAGCGGCCTGTCTTGGAAATAAAGGCTGTCATTAGTTAATGATTAATGCTCTAATCTCCCCCTCCATCCTGATAAGAACTGATGGAGTTTCCTGGGCTACATTCGGGTGAGACGGTGCTTCCGCAGGGGGAAGTGTTGGGCTCCGGGAGCCCGGGGGGTCGGTGGAGGGTCACTGAAGGCCAAGCAATGACCCTTCCAGTTGCCTCCATACACAACATGTGTTCTCCTGATTGGATTATGGCTTCCAGCTTGCAAAGTGTTGGCCTGAGAGAGATGCCCCTTCCCATGCAAAGTGCATTATTTTCATGGGTGCTCTCAGACCAACAGGGCACTGGTAGCCTGGATCTGCCTCCCTGCTGCTGCTGGAGGTTGGAGTATCCACTTAGGTTCAGTAGAGGACATTTCCATGTGCACAGCACAAGTGTGAGGCACTCACAGGTCACACTGAAGGAGAGGTTGCCTCCTATTGCCTCCAGTCCTTGTATGGATCCAGTGTGGGTGCTACGGCCGTGCCCTGGGTGTCCTGAACAAATCCAGACACCAGGGAGGAACCCAGTGAAGTTTGGAGGAACAAGAACACATTAAAACAGCTCCTTTGAAGAACACACAAAAAGCAGCCCCATGATATTAACAGAAGTGCCCCAAATCTCACCAGACTGTGCTGCTTAAATAACTTTTCTTTTGGCTTCAGAGTTGCAGGATAAACTGTCACCGTGAATTATCACTTGCTGTTATGGGAATAGCAGAGAACTGCTGAGGGTTTGGTGCTGTCGAGTGTAATTTATTCTGTTACTTCACTGTGTTTGTTTCTTTTGCAAAGAGAAGTTTGCAAAATTCAAAGCAGTGTGTCAGCAGCAGTTTTGGCACTTTCCTGTTGTGTTGTGCAGAGAGCACGGTGTAAACCAGCGCGTCACTGACACGGGGGATACGCTCAAACGGGACACGGCGACTCCTTCCTTCCCCCTCCAAACCCCTCTTACTAATCAGTGGTTGTCTCTCTGCCTAAACCTTCTGCTTCCTAAAGGGAACGTGTTGAAAATACGAGTCGTCCTGGAGAGACACAAGTGATGATCCAAAACCTGATGCCAGAGACAGTTTACGTGTTCCGAGTTGTGGCTCAGAACAGGCACGGCCCCGGGGAGAGCTCGGCTCCGCTCAAGGTGGCAACACAGCCCGAGGGTGAGCTGGAATGGTTGGAGTTTTCCTCACTTTGGGATCGATTTTGATTTAATTTTTTTGTTTTCCCCATTCATGGCCTTTCCCAGAAGAAGTTGATGCTCTCAAAAGTTGCACTTGCAGACCATAGCTTCCAAAGATTTTCCAGGCTGGTGGGTTTGTTGGATTTATTGCCATGATCAAGAGGAATTGATGAGGCATTCCTTGTTAAATTCTCTTAACTGTTATAAAAGTAATACTTTTACACTGTCATTAACTTAGCTCAGTTGTTTGGAACATGGTGCTGATGACACCAAGGTCATGGTTCTGTATGGGCCATTCACTTAAGAGTTGTACTCGATGATCCTCGTGGGTCCCTTCCAACTCAGAATATTCTGAGTTTTCTGGCTGAAAAAGGAAGAAGGGAAAACTTTAGGCAAATGTCAAGTCTTTCACTTATTAGGGTCATTCCAGGCAAAAGGACTGTGACCCAGGGAGCAGGATCTCCTTCAGACATTTGGTCCCACCTTTCCACGGGTGAATCCATGGGTAGTGCTGAGATGGGAAAAATACCCACCTCTTCCTCAGGGTGATGAACAGTGGGGTTGTCACTGCAATAACCATCCCTGGCCAGGCTCTAGAACTAGCAGAGTTCCACTCTTGTGTTCCAGTCCAGCTGCCCGGCCCGGCTCCCAACATCCGTGCGTATTCCAGCTCCCCCACCTCCGTCACCGTCACCTGGGAGACGCCGCTCTCGGGCAACGGGGACATCCAGAACTACAAACTCTACTACATGGAGAAGGGGCAGGACACCGAGCAGGTACAGATACACCACCCTTAGCAGCCTGTGTGATAGGTGTTCCTTGAACTCCTAGAAACACAGTGGGAAGGGTTTGGTTTTCTGACAGGCTGAAACACGGAAATATTTAAATTTAAAATTCCAGTATGAAATGTGTATGTCTTGGAATTAATTTTTTTGTGTGTGTGATGCCTTATTTTGGTGGGTTCATCAGCATCAAGTAGTTTTTGGGGAATTCCATCATACCTCAGGAAGAGAAGGCAAATTACAACTGTGTCATCATTTAGCAGTTCTGGTCCAGATGATAGAGAAGATGCTTGCACACTTTTGTAGGCTGGTTTTTAGTAAATTAGGTAAACTATTGGTTTTAGCATGATTATTAATCTCAGCTGTTCGTACTTCTTGAGGTCTTGGATCCAGTGATTGATATTTTGATGCTGCTGAGCATCTAATGGATTAAATTTTCCGATGATTCCACCGAAGCATCCGATGTGTTCTGTAGAAGTTTAGGCTGCCACCTGAAAATAGTGAGGATTAATCCTCATCACAGCCCCCTTCCCATCCCATTGCATATCAGTATGATTCCAGCTTTAAAAAGCAAAGGGTAGAATACATTTTCCTTAGCCTTTAAATATTTTTTTGCATCAGTTTAAAATAGACCTGATGCCTTTTCTGCTTCTGCATCCCACTATTCCAGTTATAGTCATGATTTTTTGCTAATAGTCAAGTTTCCAGATCCCTTTCCATGTATGGAGCCAGTGTCCAGGATTTAAACAGAACAGGGAGAATTCTCTCTTGTAAACTCACGGTTGGCACCTTCACAAGTCCCGGGGGTTTATAAATGTGGGTTTGATCCGCAGGCGCTGCTCCGAGGGTTCCTGTGTGTTTTACGGGAATTCTTCGGACACTGGCGGTAGTTGCAGCCCTGGTGCTGGGCTTGACTGGGTGTCTGTTTGCTCTGGGCAGGACGTGGACGTGGCAGGGCTGTCCCACACGGTCACTGGGCTGAAGAAGTTCACCGAGTACAGCTTCCGGGTGGTCGCCTACAACAAGCACGGCCCCGGCGTCTCCACCCACGACGTCGTCGTCCGCACCCTCTCGGATGGTAAAGCTCCTTATTCCATGTCGGTTTTGCAGGAATTATCCGGCAATTTCCTTTCAGTGAATTTTTAACCAGACTTTTATGGGTTTTGCTCGTTGTTGCCCTGTTTTATGAGTAGTGGTGTTGTTGCGTGTGGCTGTTCTTGGTCAGAATTCCCCAGAGGCCTTTCAAACTGGGTGAAGGAAAATTACTGCACCTGCAAAAGTATCTGGGATCGGGATTATGGAACAATGGTGTTCTTCATTCCAGCATCCGCAGTTTATTTCATGGACTGCTGAGTCTACGAAGTACTGAGAGCAGACAGAAAAACAAATAAATTTATGCAACAGCTCCAAATTATTTTTTAGGTTCTCCAACATTTTTATATATCAGCAGACTTCTGGTTTTGGAGTGTTTTCATTTTAATTGTTTTCCTGTGGGGAAATGTTGCCTGTCTTTGTTTGCACTCCAACACAGGTATTACTGAATCTGTTGCATATAATGGTGAAAGCAGGACCTGGTGCCAGGACTTTTTATAAGGCAAATCAAGAGGTACTGTGAGCCAACAGAGATACACGAGCAACTGTAGAATGATCAGAGTTAATGTTAGCTCATATTTTTTATAGAGAAGTTTATTTGTATATGAGAACAACCAGATGGAAAGTAAGTGGAGCCTGGAATCATCTCTTCAGGAATGACCAGAAATAGAACAGAGGAGCAGAGAGGCATATTGTCCCAAATTCTGCCCAAGTCTGAGCTTGTTTCTGGGGCACTTCTTGTCTGTTTGGTGATTTCTGTGTTTTGCTAATTCAGTTTCTCCTCCATGAAACCCTGTCAGCATCTTCTTTAACCCACATCAGCTTTTATCCACAACATCAAGTGGACAAAGATTCTACGGATAAATTTCCTCTGAACAATCCCCACTTCTTGTCTGTTCTGTCCCTGCTCTGTGTTAGTGTTACTTGTTGCCTGAGTAGGGGGAATAACCAGTGTCCACAGCCCCCTCTGTCCCACTCCTCCCTCTGTGGACCTTTGCCGTGTTCTCCCTCATTTCACTCGTTTTCCAGATTCCCAAGTCACAGGAATGGTTACCCACTTCTCTTGTGGAAGCTGTTTCCACCTTCAGTGCCCTTTTCTGAACCTTTTTCCAAGTTTTTTTTCTCCTGTGTACTTTTAAGTATGGAGGACTGTAATGGTATCAAAGATACAAGTGAGGCATTACTTGCATTTGACTGACTTTGGCTGCTTCTGAGCCCTGAGGTGGGAACATCCCAAGGTCCTTCTGCAGTTCTTCACCATCAGATCATAGCACGGGAGCTCCACAGCTCATCTCCCACCATGTCCCTTCCAGCCTACTTCTGCCCTTATTTTAGGCTCACTCTGGTGAGCACTTCTGTGCCATCCCCTCATTGCCTCATTCCTCAAGAGCTCCAGGAGGTTTATGATGTGGGATTTCCCTTGGAGAAGTGAGAAATACGTACTATTATTCCTCCTATTACTCCTACTCTCTCTAAATTTCATGCTTTATTGTTGCTTCAGTTTATTTGCCTCACAGAGGTTTCTGACACTCCTGGGAGTTTGAGTGGATCCCAGTGTGGTACTGGCATCACATTGACCATCTCCCAGTATCAAGGTAGCTTGGGAGAAGTTACATAAGTCATGCAGCTGTTTAATTCCCAAGTTCCTTGAGAAACCCTGGATGAATTGCACTTCACCCTGGCAAGATGCTGCTGTTCCTCACGTCCAACTCTTCCAGAATCCCTTATATTGACATTTCAGTTGGAGAGACCCTGTGAGTCCCATGTAAGGATGTCATGGAAGCCTCTCCTTTCCCACACTACAAATGGAAAGAGAGTTGTGTGGCCTTATCTTTGTCTTTTTCTCTCCTACCCTGACCATTTGCTAACTCTGATTTCTCTAAAGGGCTTCCAGCTCCTTTGTTTGAAGAATTCATTATTAGTTATAATGTCATTTTGACATTTTCCTGAAGTTCTTTCTTCTAAATCTTGTTTTCACATTTAACCTGCAGATATTTATTTTCTAAAGCTCTCTGAAGGATGTCATCTTACTTCTTCCAATCTCATAACCTGCTACTTAACCACACTGCTCTGCCCCTGCAAGCTCCCAAATCTTTGAGGAAATGATGTGCATTTTCTTCCTGTGTTTTCATATTGCAGTGTCCATGAGCAATCTCTTGTTCCCTGCAGGGATTTCTCCCTAAGCTTCCTTTAGCTGTGATTTAACAACATCTGCATTTTGATGTAGGTTTTTGCTCCTAATCTGTTCTGGTGCCTTGTTGCAGGGGTGGCTCTGCAGGTATTACCATTCAAACCAAGGTTTATGTGCTGCTCGTGAGGATTGCTTTGCTTCTCGTGGAATTCCTGATCAGGGATTACAGCTGGAAATGTAATCTCTGCATCACAGCCCGGCCAAGGCATTTCTCTCCCAGTCTCTGAGCCCTGAGCGTGTCCTGGTGCTCCTGCCTGCCTGGTTTCTGTGTCCTCTGCAGCACCAGGCAATGCTTTTCCTGTGGAAGTGTTTGACAAGAGATGTTGGGAGGGAATCCTTCCCTGTCAGGGTGGGGAGGCCCTGGCACAGGTTGCCCAGAGAAGCTGTGGCTGCCCCATCCCTGGAAGTGTTGAAGGCCAGGTTGGACGGGGCTTGGAGCAACCTGGGATAGTGGAAGGTGTCCCATCCTGGCAGGGGATGGAACAGGATGAGTCCTTTCCAACCCAAACCATTCTGTGACAAACTGCACCGTGCATGTGTTGAGATGCATTTTTATGATTACATTTACATGCACAGGTCCTTTCTGGTGTCCTGCTGATTGTCTCTCACCAAGTTGGCAATATGTGCAGTAATTTTTCACGACTCTTTGTGTAACCCATGACTTTAAGGTTGTTCTGAACACAGGCACCAACTGCATCAAACAACCAGCAAGGAAAGTTTGGCTTTATATCGTGTCCTTCCCCTCCTCAGTGTCACAGGGACGTGGTGACTCTGAGCTTTTCCTGTTACAGAAAATCATGATAACAAAACCATGGCCAGAATTCTAAATGTGGGTTCCCCAAATCAAGCAGTGTGTTAATTAAAGATTTGCTTTGGGAAGGTACTGAATGAGATCTCATCTCTGAGAGTTTATGAGATAAACCTTTAAATACAAAACATTTTTTATTTAGATAGCTGTGATAAGTAAGGACTTGAATAAAGAGTTCTTTGTGGTGAAAACACAGAACCCTCCTCAGCCAGTCACTGTGTGTCAGAATCCTCTGGGAGGATTTAGTCCTTTATAAAGTGTCTTAAACCAGAAGGGTTTGTACTTATTTGCATAATGAATGAGAGCAGAGAGTGGTTGGGTATGGAAATACCATATTTGAAAATTTTGGAATTGTAATTCCTTTAATGTTTCTAGTCCCCAGCGCTCCACCACAGAATCTGACGCTGGAGGTACGGAATTCCAAGGTAAGATGTGGCAAATCTCCTGTTGGTAATGGGTAAATAAAGGCTGGTGGGTCTTAGACTGACCACATTTCAGGGCTGCTATGGGTCTTTTTTCTCCTATGCTGCTTTTGAACTCTTTGTGTGTGAGCTGCCCAGCAGGAGAATATCTGAGCATGGGGCTTGAAATGCTGGGAGCTCCAATCCAGTGGTGGGCTGGACATGGGATGCAGTAAGACAGTGACAGTGCACCAAAGGCTCCTGATGAAAGGCACAAAAGCCTGAAGGAGCAGAGCTTGAATTCCTGCTGACTGACTGTTGTTTTTAGTGTGTGCACACACCAACACACATCTGCAGTGTCCTGGGCACTTCAGAAGAGAGAATTAAACACTTGGTCATTGAGAGTGGAGACTTTTTTTAGAAGCCTTTCCTAAAAACTTCTTTCCCAATGCCTTCCTGTGCTGCCTTCCCCAGAGCATCCTGCTGCAGTGGCAGCCCCCTCCCGCAGGGACCCACAGCGGGCAAATCACCGGCTACAAAATCCGCTACCGGAAGGTTTCGCGCAAGAGCGACGTCACCGAGAGCGTGGGGGGCACCCAACTGTCCCAGCTCATCGAGGGTGAGCAGGGCCTGGCATCGGGGGGGCTTTGTAGGGGCCTTTAGAGGGCTCAGAGGGAGGGTTCTGTAGGGTCTTGCCTTGGGAGTCAAACTGAGTCACATCTCAGACGGGCGCCGGTGGGTTCTGAGGTCGCGTGGGCTGCCGGTGAGAACTGAGGGCTGCTGACCTGATTTTGCCATGGATTTGCTAAATGGATTGGATGATTCCTTATAAAAGGCATGGGGTTTGCCTGCAGCATCTCCCCAAGTGCCAGGAATGACGTGTGGGGAAGGATTCCAGAGGAACAGGAGCTGAGAGTACTGCAAGTGATAACCAATAACCCAGCTCTGAGTGTCTGACCTGATCCACCCTGCACATCATCCCACCTACTTTCATTGGAATCAACCTTTCTCCTCCTTTCTAGCGTGAATGTATAATACATCCCCTATTTTGTACGCTTAAAAATCAAGTCTGGGCCATCACTTAGTGTAAATTATATATTGTTACCAGAACTAGAATCCTGTTCAGCAGAAATGAGCAGTGCGTGAGATCAGGAGCAAGATAACATTTTGTTCGTTTTTAAAATCTCTGTAAATGAACAGTTGGTCAAAAGAGAAGAAATTGTGAAATTCTAGAGGAGGAACACGCAGTTTTTAATAAGATGTTCTGATTTTTTTTCTCAGAAATTCCAGCTATGACAGTAAGTCTCAGTTTTCTCAGAACCGAGATGTTCCTGTAACTCGAGTATATTTTTGTCACAACAAAGCCTGTCTTGGATGTTCCATATATCCATATATGTTTGGATGTTACATATATGAAATTTTGAGTGCATTTTCATGCTGCTTCAATTTTTATTATTATTATTATTATTATTATCATTTTTTATTATAGACACTTACATAGACCAAACAGTTTGCACAGTTTGCTCACCTGCTGCTTCTGTGCCACGCCTAGGTTTAGTTGTGGATGTAATTAGTTAATTAAAACTAATTAAGAGCTGTGAATTAAAGCTGGCTGCACACAGCACCTCAGAGTCCCTTCCAGCAGTCAGTGGGACAGTGGACCATATCCCAGCCCCGGGTGTCCCCTCCCTGGTGTACCCTGGCTGAAGGGCTGCTCCCGGCCCTGACCTCACGGCGCTCCGGTGGCAGGGTGGGGTGGAAGGTTTGTTTCTATCAGGTTATCCCAGTGTGTCGGTCGGGTCTGGGATTGCTGCCCGCGGTGGGAATTCCCGTGCTGACCCCTGGGGTTGTCCCTGTGGCAGGGCTGGAGCGAGGCACCGAGTACAGCTTCCGAGTGGCCGCCATGACCGTGAACGGCACCGGCCCCGCCACCGACTGGGTGTCAGCGGAGACCTTCGAGAGCGACCTGGACGGTGAGAGCAGCTGGGACGGGGGGCATGACAGTCATCACAGCTCAGGGGCATCACAGCTCAGGGGCATCACAGCCATCATGGCTCAGGGGCCTCACAACCATCACAGCCATCACAGCTCAGAGGCCTCACAGCCATCACAGCTCAGGGACATCACAACCATCACAGCTCAGGGGCCNGCTCAGGGGCCTCACAACCATCACAGCCATCACAGCTCAGAGGCCTCACAGCCATCACAGCTCAGGGACATCACAACCATCACAGCTCAGGGGCCTCACAACCATCACAGCCATCACAGCTCAGGGACATCACAACCATCATGGCTCAGGGGCCTCACAACCATCACAGCCATCACAGCTCAGGGACATCACAACCATCATGGCTCAGGGGCCTCACAACCGTCACAACCGTCACAGCTCAGGGGCCTCACAACCATCACAACCGTCACAGCTCAGAGGCCTCACAACCATCACAACCGTCACAGCTCAGAGGCCTCACAACCATCACAGCTCAGGGGTATCACAGCTCAGGGACATCACAACCATCACAGCTCAGAGGCCTCACAACCATCCCAGCTCAGGGGCAGGGCACACTGGAATTTCATTGCCTTTGGTAAAGGGAAACCCGTCGGTTTTACCGTGTTCTAATTGTACCATGGGTTTCATTTATGATTAATTTTTTATTAAATTGATTTCTATTTTAACAGAAAATTCTTGCCAAGTCAACAAAATGGCTTGGAATCAAACCCTGCTTCTACACTTTCTGGTGCTGTATGTTGGCACTAAGTGTAAAATACCTGATTATGAGTGACAATGAGATGCCACAGTAGGAAAGAAATAAATAAAGGAAAACGTTGTCCCCCACAGCCCTTTGCAGTCCTATCCCCATATTTCATTGGTGCTGTGCTTTCTTTGACCCACAGTAGCTGTTATTTTGCCACTTGAGGAGAAAAGGCAGATTGATTATATTTTCTGACCATATCTCCCATCAGCAGTGAAGTCTCTTCCACCAAATCCATGGATTAATGATGTGTGATATACAGAACCATGGTAACAGCTTGTTTTCCCAGTGTTGAGTTTAACAATTAAAGTAGGAAATGTTCTGTGACAAATTTTGACCTCCGATAGTTGGTCCAGACATTTGGTCTTTCCTACAGTGGAATAATTTACAAGTGGGAACCTGATTCTGGCAGAATTCAAAGGAGCAATTTTGTGAGTATCTCCCAGATCTGACCAAGAGCCGGTAAAATGGAAGAAAGGTCTATTTTTAAAGGATGGCTGGGGGGGAATCTCTTTGGAACTGCCTACCCTGGAGCTGGTGGTTCTGGGTGCACTGCTCCCATTTCCAAAATTAGTGGGTTGCACCCAAGTTCCCTTTTGCTTGTTGGGGGCCACTCTCTCTTGGCCTTGTGGAAGGAGCTGAGAGGGTCATTCCATCTCAGTGCCACAGGATCCAGCTGTGTCTTTCACATCTGTGCAGCCTCAGGTTCAGCTTTCCTGGCAGCTGCAAGATGAAATAATGAAAGTGTTTCAATATTTGCTCTCCACTGTTGGAAGATCCTTCACAGTCGGCTCAGAAAGCCCTGGAGAGCCCCTGCTCCAGTCTCTGTGCTCTGCAAAGCTGATGCTCAACTTAATCCTTGTTCTCCCTGCTCCAGTGTTAACAGTGCAGTTCAGGTCTGTAGATATTTCAAATGACTTTTCAGAGTTGAAATCACTTTGATCTGTGTGTCTGTCTTCCCCTAAGTGGATATGACACAACTGTGGAGCTTTGAGAAGCCACGAGGTCCCCAAACTGGAGCAGAGCTCTGTAAATAGGCACTTCAGGAGGTAATGAAAAGGTCCCTGAATTAGAGTTAACAATGCTTTGCCAGAGGATAGCATCAGGATTAAATTTAAATTTAAATAGGGCAGAAGGAGGGAGAAGAAAGGAACCTTTTCCTTCTCTGTTGACTTTGTCATTTAAATTTGGAATGTTGCAGTCCTTGCAGGAAATCTGAATTTCTTTCTGCATATTCTTTCCAGTGAATAAAGTAATAAAAAATTCACAGTTAAGACAACCTAACCTGGTATTCAGATCATTCTGTGTACATGTGTGAGAACTTTCTGTATGTGCACACCAGGGAGATGATGTGTATTTTTGGGTTTCTTTCTTTAGGAAACTCATGTGGATAATTTTAACACCATGCAAATGTATTTACAGCTAATCTTGCACTTCTCAGGTTCAGTAGGCAGGGAAGGCATAATTTCTTTTCATTCCTATGGCTGCTTTTGGAATTTAAATAGAAAATAACTCACCTGACAGTCTCCTCAAGGTACAGGGGAGCTGGAGTGTGACAATCCTGCATTGGTGCAGGTGCCCCAGGAGTGCAGAGCAGGAGGTGTTAAACAGTTGTACAAAGTTTATCCCCTGTGCACCAACTTCTGTGCAGTTAAAAATGTCACCTCTCAGGCTGCACTTGGAGCTTTGCTGTGTTTAATATTTGTGAACTTTAATTGATGGGCTGTGTCAGCTGGAGACCAGAAACCCCCTGGGCTGGCAGGGCAGTGCTGTATTATGATCCAAATAATCCTTTTGTGGTGCTTTATTAAATGGTTTTAGAGAAATGCAGCATGTTTCATTAAAATTAAATCCCTGCAGGAAGCAGAAGTCCTTGTTTTTATTTTAGAGTGGGGAGCTCAGTTTGCTATTGCACAGAACTGTTTATAATCCGTGGGCACACGGCAGCTCCAGTGGGATGACAAAAGTCTAATCTCCAGAAGTTAAACCAAAGTTGTGGACACTGCAGGGACAGTTGTGAGGTTGCTTTTAGGTTCAAATCAACAGTAGGGAAAAAACCTTATAGTAAAAACATGAGAGGCTTACTGTGGCATGTTGGGGAAGTCCTGGTTTTAAGGATCCACATTTCATCTCTCCATGGGTTGGGAAGAGATTTGTGTTGCTTTTTGGGGGTAGGGTTTGAACATTTGATATAGACTCTCTTTTTTTTGATCTTTTAGTTTGGCTGTGTAGTTTCTGCTTGTATTTTGTGAATTATGTGAACACAGGGATTTAGGCAGCAACAAGTGTAGGACAAATGCAGGGTGCATTCTCAGAGCTTTGCAATATCCTATTTAATGCTACAACAAGCTCAGGAACCTTTTTTCGTTATCAGGATTTTCAGTATAATTACTTTAATGCCCACAAGTAAGGAATGTGATGGAATTGGAAGCAGATTGCTTCGTGGAGGGGAAGGATGGGATAAATCTAATGCATGCTTGGAAGAATTGGTGAGAAGATGCACAACCATCTAGAAAATCTGCCCTGAGCAGATGTGATACTTTCTTCAGTACAACTGCCCTTTCTTTTAAAGAGAGGATCTATTAAATACAACAGTGTCCAAAGCTCTGTTTGCTGGAGCTCTTTGCTCTCCCTTGGACACCAAAGCTCTTCCATTGGAACGTGCTCATTTCACACAGAGTAGAAGTGCTTCATTTGGCCTTCCTACCTCACATTCTTCGTGGAATTACCTTTATTTGAGAGGAAGCCTTGAAATCCATCATTTTTCCTTGACAGAAACTCGTGTTCCTGAGGTTCCAAGCTCCCTGCACGTCCGTCCCCTGGTCACCAGCATCGTGGTGAGCTGGACCCCCCCGGAGAACCAGAATGTGGTGGTGAGGGGCTACGCCATCGGCTACGGCATCGGCTCCCCCCACGCCCAGACCATCAAGGTGGACTATAAACAGAGATACTACACCATCGAGAACCTGGGTGAGCCAGGGGGATCCCCAGCCCTGCCCATTTCACCTCCTGCAGCCCTTGTCACAACCCCTTCCATGCTAAGCAGCAGCAGGGGCCCCTCATTCTCCAGCTGGAGCTGCAGAACAGGTGGCTTCAGGCAAAAAAAGGGAGCTAAAATGTCACCAAGATTCACTGGCAGCTACTTGGAAAGGAAAATAGATTCACCCCTCCACAGAATTCTCTGTGGTGGGTAAAATAGCCTGAAAGCCAAAGAAATATTAATATTGAGAAGTTCCATAAAATCGGAGGTTGGAGGTATTTTGTAGTAGAGCAGAGTAAAATGATCATTTTAAATTGTTTTTCCTCACTGCTCTTGTGGCTGTACTTAAGGGAGATTTGCTGTGACTAGAGACTTCCACTGATGAGAGTTGTTGTGTCCCTGCCCATGGCAGAGGAATGAGAGGAACTTTAAGGTCCCTTCCAACCCAGACCGGTTTGGGATTCTGGGAACACAAACAGAAGGTCTGCACGGAGACTTGCAGTTCAAATTAAATCAAGTTATTTCATATATTTCAGTTAAAAATTAAAATACTGAACAAAGAGGGTATGGAGAAGCAGAAAATAGGATTCATTTGATATTCTAATCTCTTTTTTCCCTTTAGACCCAAGCTCCCACTATGTGATCACCCTGAAGGCCTTTAACAACGTGGGGGAAGGAATCCCTCTGTACGAGAGCGCCGTGACCCGGCCCCACTCTGGTAAGGAGCAGGGGCTCTTCCCAGTCCTGCACAGCTGCTGGAATGTGGTGGTGTGGGATGGAAGAGTCTGGTTTGTCCGTGCCACCCAGCGCTCCCCATCCTTTTAACTGGCTGCCCTCACTGCTCAGGGATTGCCTCACTTGTCCCACATTAAACCACCTAAAATTGGGGCCATTTGGAAATTACAGAACTTACCTGTCAGCTGCTGATAGATGTTCTTGTTCCCAACATTAACATTACACGAGCCCAGAGCCTGGGGGTGCTGTTCTAAAGGCACAGCCCTTGTTTTGGGGTTTAGGGGCAAATACAGCTTTTTTTGGTGTTTTACACTGAGATTTTGAATATGATGTGTGTTTGCTTTATCTAAGTCTCACTCTGCTGTCACTTACACCAAAAAGTTGGTGAAAGTTTTAATTTTGAAAGAGTTCAAGCAGAGGAAACAGTTTGCAGGTGAGGTGTTGCCATGTGAGGGCTCGCTGTGCTCCCTGGTGACACCAGCGAGGGGTTTGCTGTAGGTGCAGCACTTTGGTTTAGTCCTGGAGAGCAGGACTAAAATCCTTAGACATTTTATAGAGGACACTGCAATTGCAGTTCACAGTTATTGTATATTTGTCTGATATTTGGGACTCAATGCCCATAACATGCTTTAAAAGCTGCTAGGAGCTCCCTGTGTGTGAAGTGACATTTCCCCATCCAGAAGGAGTCCAGCTCTTTGTTCTCCTCATTGTTTTCTGGAAGAGGACTCAGTGGACATCCTGAGGAAAATGAAGTTAAAATGGCTGTGTCTTTGGGGTTCTCAGGCCACGGCTGAGGGCACTGCACACTAATACCATTAAGTATTATACCAGCATGTCTGTGTTGTCTTACTGTCTATAGAAGGGAAGAGATGCAAGAGTGATGTTATTGACCAGTCTGATGTCACCTATTAACTCTGGCTTTTCTCTCTTTTTCTCCATTCCTCACCCTCCATCTCATTGCACTACCCTGCATTTCCCCTTTTTTGTTTTGGTTTACATTAAAATGCCACCTCCTCCCGTTTTAATTGTAACCCCCGACTCCTTGCCCATCGATTCCCCAGACACTTCCGAGGTTGATTTGTTTGTTATTAATGCTCCATACACTCCAGTGCCAGACCCGTCTCCCATGATGCCCCCGGTGGGAGTTCAGGCTTCCATCCTGAGCCACGACACCATCCGGATCACGTGGGCAGACAACTCTCTGCCCAAGAACCAGAAGATCACGGACGCTCGGTACTACACAGTGCGCTGGAAAACCAACATCCCGGCCAACACCAAGTACAAGGTACTGGCTCCAGCAGCTCCAGCAGCCTTGGGGGTCAGGGACAAGGAGTGCTGAGGTGGCAGCTGAGGGTAAGAACACCCTGCAGAGCTGTGCCAGGAAGGGCAGGATTGTTCCAGGTTGGTTCTGTGTTCTGTGGGTGAGAGAGCTGGAGCTGGGGTGTTGTGAGCGTGGATGGAAGAGCACTTCCAGAAGGGTGTTCTGCTCTGGAGCCAGGGGCACAGGGACAGTTGGACACTTGGAAGGTCTGTGTTAGTGACTCTCTGCCTCTTCCCCAGCCAGCAGAGAACCTGAATTTGGGGGTGAGTCCTGCAGGGAAAAGATTGACTCTTGTGGTCTTCAGTTCCTTTTACAACCTTTTCATGCCGAGTCGATAGTGAACCTTTCCTTTGGGAACTGAATGGATGCAAAATACACAACAATAACTTTATGATGTCCTTGCCTTCCTCCATTTCCATCTGTTTTGATTTGGAAACTGGATTTGGGTTTTCAGTTTTTTTAGTTGGTTGGTTGGATTTTTTTATTAATTTTCAGGGTTATCTGGAGGCCTCAAAGGTGTTGACTACAAATTTCACATTTGCAATGAGACTCAGAGGAACTGGTTGTTAAAATACCCAGCCAGTGGAGTCCCCTTTATGCTCCTACAGAGCTATCTTATTATGGTCCAGATTTATTTTTTTTTTTTATTGAAATGAAAAGATATTATTATAAGTGTATTCCTCCTCTAAAGGCAAGCCCACATTCCTGAGTCATGTGCAGAGGATGTCTCAGGAGTGATTTAAAGAAAGCTACAGTTTCTGTAGTTAATTGCTTAAAAAAACCCCACCCTCAGTGGTAAATGAACTATTCCCACCATTCCTGGTGCTGGTGGCCAGTGGGTGACAAGTTTTATTGTGGACCAAAGCCAATATGTAATGATGGAATATAGTTCAGAATCACTCCCTGCAGAAAGCATTTGCCTGAAAGGACAGACGTTTGAGGGTCTTTGCTTTAACCATGTGGCACCCAGGATGTCTGGAGAACCCACATTCTGCGACTGTTCCACAGCTTTGGGCACAGAAACTCTGTTCTCCAGGATCCAGAGCTGCATCTGTTCAGCACAGGGTGGTTTCATCCATCCCTCTCATCCCAATGGATGCTGGAGCCATCCGTTCAGATTTTCTCCCTTTGCCCCCTGTTTCTCACTGGCACTCCCAAACTGCTGCTGAAGGAGCTCTGTGCTCCCAACACAAGTGGTTCCACCTTAAGGAGCCTTTTTCTCCTCTATTTATACAGGAGTTGTGTCAATCTGGAGCCTGTAAACACAGGAACAGATGGGATACAGTTCCTAAAAGGCTCCACTGTGCTTTGAACCGTGTTGCTGCACCAAAGAGCCTTTGTTGGGGACTGGGGTTGTCCTGCAGCTCCCTGGGATCCAACAGTCAGCTCTTAAGGAGAACCAAAAATATTAAACCTTATCTCGGATCTTTTAGGGAAATAAATTGTTCGGGGTACTATTTATGGAGAGTGAGTGGGGTTTGGTACCATGGGATAGGCTGGGATCTTAAAAACTGGGAGTGGTGTTAAAAACTGGAGAAAGCAGAGAAGTCTGAGCCTCCAGCTGGGCCTTGATGTGTGATTTACATCCAGTGGGATGTGCAGGGAGATACCAAGATTCAGAGCCATAGGGAAAACCAGAACTTAACCTGTGAAAGGAGCTTGGCTGCAGCCGGGAGAGACCAGGAACTATAAACTATGGAATGTTCCAGTGCTGTTGGAATTCCCACAGGCATTCCAGAGAGGAAGAGCTGGTGTGCATTTTGGGGGTAAGGCAGCTCAGAATGCAAGATTTCTCCTCTGGACTTGTCATTCCCTCGCTGTCCCAGGCCAAGGGCTTTGCTCCCTCCTTTCCCAGGGAGCTGTGCCCAGTCCAGCTTTGTCACAACCCGTCAGCCACAATCCATTTACTCCAAAGGTACTCAGAGTGTGCACCAAGTGAAGGTTTCAGGTTAATAGAGGATTTAATTTTAATTCATTATATGAGCCCTTGATGACTGGCCACCCCTGTGATGTTGGTGAAGGAGCAAAATACTTGGCACAAACCACAGTCATCCCTTGGATCACAATTCCTGAACTTCCAGCCAGGGTAAGAGAAAAAGGCTCTCCCTGATACTTGACAAATCAGGGTTTTCTTTGCAGAATTTGGACTGTGTTACTCACAGAGCCCCCAAGAAATGTGCCTTTACCTTGAAAATTAATTAGCTGGAGGTGTTGTTTTTGGAGGCAGTGGCTGTACCCAGTTGTTGGCCCTGTCAAAGACTGAAACAACTCTTTAATTCCATGTTTAGATCACTGCAGGTCAAGGTAAGGAATATACATATCTGTAAATACACTTTCCTTTTTCTTCCCACAGCCTCCAGTGCATTCTGTTGATGTTCAAGCCACGTATAGCAAATACCAGATATTTAAAAATGGCCGAGTTACAAATTCCACTATTTATGTATAACAACCTGCAGTGTTAAATGAACTTAGTGCAATTAAATTCACTGCTTATTATGCTTAGGTTTCCCTGTGGATGAAGTGTAAAGGACAAAAAGCCCATCCAAATGAGCCTGGAGTTCTTTTTAAAATACAGCCAAAAAATCAAGTGTGCAAAGAATTAGTAAAATCTTCTATAATAGAAATTCTCTATAGAAATTCCTACTTAGAAATTCTAAAATTTCTGTTCAATAAATGTGTAGTTTTTGTGTGTGATCCTAGATAACCATTTTGTTCTGGAAAAAGTCTGTGTATTAGTAAAGCTTCGTTCTCTTCACGTCTTTCCAGTGTATCTTTAGTTGATTGTTTATTATATTTACGAATGTCCTGAAAATGCTGCAGGAATTTGGGAGGCAGCTCCAGGTTTCAATCAGGATTGTTATTAGCTGGGCTTATTGTTTTCCCCAGTTAATGAAATGCTGGAAATTAGCCCCCCAGGTAAACAGTGATTTAGCCACTGCATAACAAGTGGGCCCTGGACCTTGTATTGCCTTTCTTAATTTATAATTGACTGCTATTAAATCTCGTGCTGATTGCAGGAAGAACCTCCAGTTGAGGGCAAAACAACTGCACGTTAATCCTTGATTGAGGAATTTACATGAGAGAGGAGAAACCTCCCGGAATTAATGGCTGTGGTTGTGGAAATGTTGGAGACACCTGAGAGCTGTGACTGATGGCTCAGCAGTTCCTGACACTTGCCTTTCTTTCAGACTGCCAATGCCACCACCCTGAGCTATTTGGTGACGGGGCTGAAGCCCAACACCCTGTACGAGTTCTCGGTGATGGTGACCAAGGGCCGCAGATCCAGCACCTGGAGCATGACAGCACATGGGACCACCTTTGAACTAGGTACTGCTGGGTTTCTGGGAGGGCTGAGCAGAAAGAAATCAAGCCAGGTCTGCCAGCTTTCTGGTTTTTAAATGATTCTGCTGATGATACTTGCTGGGGGGGGGCTGTTCTTCTGAATAGTTTAGTCAGAAATTCTGATTAAAAAAACAACAACATACTTCAAAATTCCAAGGGATGATTGCATGCAGGAGAATTTACATCAAATTACAGAGAAGTGATGAATAATGTACCACAATTCATGGGCAGGAGAGAATAAAGTGTGTGCTTGAAACGTCTCAAAAAGAGCACGTTAATAGCAAATACAAAGAAAATACTTCAGCTAATAATAATTAAAATTTGCTGTGTGATGATAATTATGACAGAGCGAGGAGGTCCATGAGGCAAATGAAGACAAAAAAATCACAGTAGGAATTAAGACATCCAAATGAGCCCTAAATTCCTGTTCAGAACAGAAAAGGTTTTATAGCTGCCAAGGAAAACCTTGGGCCCACGGAGTAACTGTGAGGGCCAGACCCTCTCCCCCGACCTGCCCCTCATTAGCTCTTTTTATCCTGCAGTGTTAAATGAACTTTGTGCAATTAAATTTGCTGGTTATTATGCTTAGGTTTCTCTTTAGATGAACTGTAAAGGACAAAAAGCCCATCCAAATGAGCCTGGAGTTCTTATGCTAAATTAAAATACAGCCAAAAAATCAAGCGTGCAAAGAATTAGTGAGAGCTCCCAAATGTTCTGTAACAAGGCATGAGAAAAAGCAAAACCTGGATAAAATCTGAAATCTCTGAACTTACTCTGAAGTCCCATAAACCATTCTTGAGCTTCAGTTGCTTTTGAAAACACTGTTGTGGTTTTTGGAGGGAATTCCATGATGTGGGACCAGCTCTGGGCTGAGGCTCCTTTCCCATCCCAGTGACTATTCCCAGGTTAAAACACTCTCTTTGCTATTTTTGCTGACACACATACAATCCTCACCCATAACTCTACACCAAGGGCAGGGACTATAAAATTTGCAGAGATAAAGACCTTGACAGAGAATTTGAACCTCAAAAAGCACACGAGCAGTGATGCAGGAGGTCTCGTTGCATTTAAATAGGAAATCCCAAGTTGAAGTGGTTATAGACAATATTTGCAAATGTGACCTAAAAACTTGGGAACTAAGAAAAAAAATTGAAAAAAGGGCTAAATATATTTTCTCATAGAAGATCTTGTGATTTGTATGACTGGCCAAATTCCTGAGCTCATTATTTTGGAATATCATGAGTAGCAGCATTGTGTAGGACTTGCTCCTCAACTAATGATGAAGGAAAATATGGGATCCTGGGCTGAGTGTTAGTGATTTCCTGATTTTTCTTCCTCTGAATCTTCTTTTTATGTATTTGGGGTAATATTTACAGTAACTTTTGGGCTTTGGCTGTCCTGGTTCCCACCTATTCCTCACAGAGGGATACCAGGTGCCCATCTCAGAGGAATGGAGGGATGAATTTCTAATTGGTAACTTAAATAAAGCTCTTGAAATGCAGGAAGCACTGCAAGCACTCAGGGCTACTATTATTGTATTAGTATATCCAATATCCAAGGTGGATTTACTCCAAGTTAACCCAAGGAAAAAGGTTGGACAGTTGTGGTCAGCAAATATTTCTTCCTTTCAGATGTTTCCGTGGTGCAGATTTCCTTCCAAATCACAAATAATCCTTCAGGAAAGTCAGTCAGCAATTGCAGATTTGAAATTGCTGGTGGATTTACTTTGCTGATTTGGATTTAAATGGTAAATTGGCATTTCTGGAGTCATAGAACTCAGAAGGGGTTGGGTTGGAAGGGACCTTAAAGCCCATCTTGTTCCACCCCCTGCCCTGGGCAGGGACACTTCCCACTATCCCAGGTTGCTCCAAGCCCCGTCCAGCCTGACCTTGGACACTTCCAGAGATGGGAGTCCACAACCTCTGGGTCTCAGTCCCACCATAAACCTGAAAATATGGAGATATTTCATGTGCCTACCTAAATAAAATGTATTTCTTTCATGAGTTTGTATGATTTTTCTGATGACCGAAGAAATTCAGGTGAGAAGTCAGTGACCTCAGTTGTCCAAAGATCCCTGTTTTTGGGAACACCTGGGCTCATTCAGTCCTGAATCACAGCATGTGGTGACAGCAGTGCCTTGGGAAGGGGGAGCTCCATCTGGGAAGGAGGTGCTGCACTCCAGGTCACCAGTGAATGGAGTAAATCAGTGAGACCCCGACAGTAGGTGGTGGATTCATAAAACTAACATCAAAGAGAACAAACCAAAATAACTTGCATTCATCTAAAACAAAAATCCAGGGTGCTGAGGGTGTTGTTTGTACCCCGTGGGTCTGACAGCCTGGTTGTGTGTGTTTGCAGTGCCCACTTCCCCTCCCAAGGACGTGACCGTGGTGAGCAAGGAGGGCAAACCCCGGACCATCATCGTGAACTGGCAGCCCCCCTCCGAGGCCAACGGCAAGATCACAGGTGGGCAGGGCAGGGGGGCAGCCCAGGGGGTGCTGCACGACCCTGGGGCCGTGTCCCACCCTCCCTGTAGCCCAGGGCTGCCCAGAGCTCTGTATCTGCTCTGTCAGTCTCTGCAGCCGCTCAGATTAATTATTTACTTTTGTACCCCGTAAAAATATATTAAGATCTAAACTAACTGCAGTGGGAAATTGGAGTGGAACCAGAAATATAATTGGAAGTTTAAATATCTCCATAACCTTTGCCTTCCTCAGATTGTGCTGTTCTAATAGCAGGCCTCCAGAAATTGTCCATAATGCCTCTGGCCCATCAGTGGTTTATTTAGGAGAAGCCATCCCAGTGCTCTTTGTCATCTTAGTGGCGTTTTTGTGTCACAGAACAGACTTAAAGCCAGTTTATTAGTCCCCTGACAGAACCATTAGGAGTAAACTGTTATTTGCCTTTAAGTGCATCACTGCCACGTAGGATAAATCACTGTACAGAAAGTGATAATTCCTGATTCCTGTCCGTAATTTCTGTTTGGATTCCCATTTCCAAGGGCTTTCTGAAATAATTCACTTCCGTTTTTCTTTGTTTTTATGCCAGGTTTTAAGCTTAAATCAGATTGTAATGGCATATTGTTTGCAGTGTATGGGTTTGGGTTTGTGCTCAGAATTAACCACGGTGCAGGATCACCTGATTAGGCAGGACTGGAGCCCAGGTTCTGCACAGGAGACTGAATTGAATTAGATCCCTTGGAAAGGGCAGCAAGATGTTTCCTCTTTGTGAGAAGGAAGGTTTGAGTGGAGAAAAAAGAGCCTTTATCTGAAGTGCAGGTGAAAGGACTCAGCTGGTGGTGGACAGTGAGGGGCCTTCAGGCAGGGCAGGCACAAATATCCGACACTGAGGGCCCTCAGGGGAGAGGGGGAACAACATACAGAGACCAGCACTTACCTGCACGTGGTAAATGAGCAAAATTATCCCATTTTCCTGGGAAAAAATGCCCTTGCAGTGTCTGCTCTGAAGTGCAACCTTAGTTACCCACATAGGTTGAACAAAAGCATCCAGTGCTTATCAGTTTGTGCATAAACAGCAGGTTAAAACATCAAATAAAATAGTAATTAACTGGTAAGTTTGAGTGCACCAAGCATGAGCTTCCCTTTTCCAGGGAATGAGGCAGTTTTTGGGATGTGGGGGTCGAGTGCCCTCTGGTGGGAACAGCCCCGGCTGAGGGACAGCTCCAGGCTCCACTAATGAGTCATTAACTAATGAGTCATTAACTCTGTGCATTGAGTAGTGCCGTAAAAGCCGAGGGATGATGTCATTCCATGCCCTGGGCAGCCTGTCTGTGGAATACATGGCTTTGCAGCTCCCGTCTCCCTTGGATGTGGTTGGGATGGATTTGGAATACTGAGCTGGGCCAGGCTGGGTTCCTGATGTGCATCGTTAAACCCGCTGAATAATTAGGACAGTCATAAGTTAACTCACTGCTTGTGCCACTATAGTCCTTTGAACTGTCAATACATATATATATAAAAATTAAATATGTGTGTATAGTATAGATGTAAAATACTAAATAAATATAAATAATATAAAATAATATAAATAATAATATATAAATATAATATGCACCATAAGTATAATATCATTTATAATATTTATAATATATTATTGTAATATAGCATATAGACAATATAAATAATAAATAATAAATAATATATATATACACCTATATTGGTTCAAGTATATATTTTATGCTGAGGCTTTGTGTTTCGTATGTAAAAAAAGTTATAAAGCTTTTACTTCATGTTGATTTTTACAATTGCAGTGCTTTTCAATAACAGAACATAAACTCCTCCCATACCTTTTTTTCCTGGGTTGTGCAGGACAACCTCAGTACTCTTCAGATTATTGTCATCTTTGTTAATGCACTGGAAAACACTGTTTTGTGCATTAACACTTGGTTAATACACTGAAAATAAAATAATTATAAACTACTGAACACATGTTGCTGAGCTGCGCATGAGAATGTTTTGTGGTTTGAACATTATTTAAATAATGTATTATAATAATATATTAATAATATAATAGTAATACTTTGAGAATGTTATGATAACAACAGCATTATCTTATTTTACTTATAAATAGGTAAGGAGGTGGAAATGAGCAGTTTCTCCATGTGCAATGAACAGTGCTCAGAAATGATATTTTAAAGGGCTTTTTTCCTCTCGCTGTGTAACAGATGGGAAGGGTGGCTGGTGTCTGGATGCATTCTTAGTCTTGGGAAAAGTGAGAACACCCTTAGCAAGCCCCTAATCCTCATTTTCTGTGCGATCTGGTGACTGTCCTGCTCTTCCCTGGGAACAGGATACATCATCTACTACAGCACAGACGTGAACGCCGAGATCCACGACTGGGTCATCGAGCCGGTCGTGGGGAACAGACTGACCCACCAGATCCAGGAGCTGACCCTGGACACGCCCTATTACTTCAAAATCCAGGCCCGGAACTCCAAGGGAATGGGGCCCATGTCCGAGGCCGTGCAGTTCAGAACCCCCAAAGGTAAAGTGGCACCTGGATCCCGACAGCTCCTCCAGAAGGACGAGCACCAGGAGCGTGCAGTCGGTGCTTACACAGACTGGGAAAGGCTGGAGTTGGGTTAGAGTGGAACTCCCTGTTGTCTTGCTCTTGCCTGGAGTTAATCCCTGTGCAGGTGGTGCTCAGCTCTTTGGTTCATGGTGCTGTGACTGCTCTTGGTTCCTTAGTTATGAGAAACCCAGGTTTGGCTACAGTGACACTCCAGGACTTTGTCACATCTGCTCCCTGGGACTGGGGTGGTGCAGGGGGAACTCATGGGACACAGCAGGCTCCTGAATCAAGAACTGATGGTGGTGGGTAGGTGGTAAATAGTACAAATGAGAGATAGCTTGAGAAAGGTACTCAGGGGGGAGAAAGAAAAAGTTATGAGTTTATCACTGTGGAAACATATCATAGAACTGGGATGGAAGGAACCTTAATAATCATCCAGTCCCACCCCCTGCCATGGGCAGGGACACCTTCCACTCCAAGCCCTGTCCAACCTGGCCCTGGGCACTTCTCCACGTGAGTATTGGTGGTCAGAAAGGAGCTGTAGCCACTCTGCCTGTGCTGTGCGAAACTTGAAATTCTGTCTCACTCTTCAAGCCTTGTGATCTCTCTTGTTTTTTCCTCCCTGTGCTTGCCCCATAGCTGAGTCCTCAGATAAAATGCCCAATGACCAAGGTAAATGAACAGCCAACATTTCTCTTCACTCCATCCTTCACCCATCCTGGTTTCGCTGTCCATGTGCTGTTGCATTTTCTAAATGAAACAAATATCTGCTGCTCTGACTGGAAATGGGCGAGTTCCTGTTGTGGTTTTAATAGTGGAAGAACTGGGAGTGCTGTGTGTGGGCTGGTGTTGGGAATATAAAGTGATCTCTGTAGTCAGGGGTCCCATGAAGGGCCATGTGGGTGGGGACCCTTCTGCAGGGATGGGCCATCCCGCCCCTGCCTGTTGCTGCAGGACCTCGGCACGAGGGGGTGGAGATCAAACAGATTCTGATTAGCACAAGTGCTGCTTGTGAGCTCCACATCCAGGATTGTTGTCATAAGAAAGGCAAAGATGCTCGTTCTGGAAAGCTTTGTGCAGGAGAGATTCTGTCTGTCAGCTCCTTTGGAGTCCAGACTCTCCTCAGGAGCCCAGCATTAGCTCCTAAAAGCCTTAAGGCTTTAAAATGTTTGCTTGGAAAACGGGAGCTTTGAGGCTTCCTACATGGAATTATAAAGGTGAATGTCCCAGGGCTGTTCTTGCTTTCTTCCAAATAACCTACAAGCCCAATAAAAAGGGAAGAATTAGTCTGAAGGGATGAGTTTAAAAGGCCATTGGCAAACAGCTTAGACTTGCAATTAGAGAGATCCTAAAGGGGCTGAGAGGGTTGGACTTGGCTCTGCAACTTGTTACTTAGCAGTAATTTATTAAATATGCTTTTACCCCTGTGCACCAAATACTGCTGATAGGAGGGGATTAGGGAAGAAATTCATATGCAGCCCCTGTGCCAGAGGTGGGAGCTGGGATCTGGGATCTGGGCTGCCTGGGGGTGAGCAGCTGCTCTCCCTGACACCATCCGTGCCCAGGTGCAGCGGGAGGGAACTGGGGAAGGTTAAAAGGTTTTAGGGAAAAGTTGCTGTTTTCTATTCTGCCCTGTTCTAACCCCATTTCAGCAGAGAACTGAATCTTCCATCCATCTTAAAGTAACTTGTTCTTCTAGTAAAATTTGATTAATTCTTATCCCATTATTTATAAATCACAAAAGCCAATAGAGCTTTGTTTCAGATTTCCTCTTGGAACACTCAGAGATTATAAATCATGGCAGCAGCTTAAGTGTAGGAAAGGAGAAGGTGGAGGAAATGCAGGAAAGGAGCTGAAGAGCTGCTCTGTGACAGCATCACTGAATTGGGACTCTCAGGAAAGAGCCAGCAAGTTCCTCAGGACTGGGAAGGACCCAAACTACAATGGGTTGATTCTCTGGCCCTGATGGTTCTGTCTTTTTTTTTCTCTCCCTGCTTTAATGTTTTTCTTCTGTACTAAGCACATGATGCTGTTTTTCCACACACTTTGGTAGCACAGAGCTCGTGTCAGAACTTAGTGACAGTTGCTGTCAGCCCTCAAGGAGTTGCACTGGCCTAGGCCAAAAGCAAAGATTAAGGTCTCTGATCCTTGGAAAACCATCCTGAAGTCACAGACATTGTGTGGCTGCCCGTACCTGGAGATTCACAAGCTAAATAAAAAACAATTCCAAGTAAATGCTGTCCTAAACTGTTCCTTAGAATAGGTTGTACTGCATAAGAGATGGACTCTCTGGAATTTAAAGGTTTAAACTGTTCATCTATGGTTTTAGGAATTGGATACTGAGAAGCATCTTGGTTGGGTGCCTAAATTTCATCCTAAATTCCTCAGGGTGTTCCCAGGAGGATGTGAGCTCTGGGAGCAGGTGCAGGTGGCACTGCACATCCTCTCTCTTCTTCCCTGTTCCCTGATTTTATGTCACCTGTTAAACTCAGGGGCATAATTTTCCTTCTCTTTCCTTGTGTTATTAAGGATATTGAACTACCCTTGGCCAAGCACAGGTCTTTGCAGAACTCATTAGAAATGTTCTTCATGAATAATGATTTTTCAATTCTAATTCTTATTCTTATCAGTTAATGTGTAGTTCATCTTGTTAATGGGTGCCATGTTGCTTTTTTATGATGCTGTTTTAACAAAGGATTGTACAGGACACAGTGAAATGTTTTTGGGAAGCCTAAATCCAGTATATTTTATATATATTATTCTATATCTGCATAGTTACTGTTACCAACTATGTTTATAGTCTGACATTTAGTTTTTTGAAAATACCTGTTTTCCATAAAGCAGAAAGATGGGCATGAAGCAGGAACCATCTCCTATCCACCCCCTTTTCCATGGTCTTACCTGTGTTAAGGCTCCAGCTGCTGCACTAGAAATGCTCAGGGTGTCTAATTGTCCTTCTAAAATACTGCTGGTTATTTTTATTCCCCCCTTCTCCCGCAGCTTCTCTGGGTGGAAGATCCAGCAGCTCCTCAGTGCCAGGTTCAGGGATCCAGAGGATTCATTTAGGGTTTTTTCCCATCTTTTCAGTGCAGGTTCTGTGACCATCCAGACACAAATATATCAAACACGAGCTGTTTAAAATGCTGTAAAATTCTGTCCTTGCTGCTGCAGGATTATTAGTGCAGTGCTTCAAAAGGAGAGCACTGGGTGCAGGGTCCTCTCTGCCCTGGCAAGTGCAATGTGTCTTTTTCATGGCACATTTGTCCTGCAATACATCTTTTCCATCATTATAGACTGGAACTCCTGCTGTACACACAGAACATTCCTCCTTATTACCCTGCCCAGGTTTAATCAGAATTCCTGCTGCTCCCTTTGGCTGGTTTTGCCATTTGTCTTGATTTCAGTGACTAATTTACAGGCTCTGACTTGAAGTTCACAGTTTCCATTTGTTACACATCCTTTAACACTTATTACTTCTTGATTAAAGGGGATTTTTAACTGAAAAAATCCTTCTCCTGATTGGGAAACTGCCAAATTGCCTGACTTCTTGGTTAGTTTGGTTTTTGTTTTTTGTTTTCTTTTTTTGTAGAACAATGTAAAAATGTGCAAAATATTCTGGATTCCTGCAACCAGAGGTGTTCTTTGCACCTTGCTGAACGTTTCCCCCACTATAGTATTCTCACCAATTTCTGCATTGAGTGCATTTTAATGAAAGCACAGAGGGAAAGAACCAGGGTTGGGATGTAACTAATGAATTGGTTTCCTTGGGTTTCACCAAAAACAGTTTTGTGAGGCTTCGTTGTCACTTCTGAACAGAAGAGAATGGGGTTGAAAGCAGGTTTTTATGGATAGGCTGGGCCCTAATATTACATTTACTGTGCTTTGGATCCTCCACTTACTTCCAGTCTCCCACACTGGCTGTAATGGGGTGTTAGGAAAGGAAACCTGGATAATTCCAGTTTCAGTCCAGGTGTGGCAAAGCCCTGTGCCTCAACATGTACCTGTGCATTGCTGCAAATGATTTTTATTATCATTTTAAAAATGATTATTAGTAGAGTCTCCCGAGCTGAGTTAGGAAAAGAATAACTCAGGAAACAATTGAAGAGTTCTTCTGGAGAAGTTTTTTTTCTTGGAGAAGTGCAAGTGCTGTGCAAAGACAAATCATGTTGTGGGGAGAGAAAAGGAGGGAAAAACTGTTCATGGGGGCATAGAGAAGTTCTAAAAGAAACTTAGAGGTGCTAAAGTGTGTGTGTGTGTGTGTGTGTGTAACATTCCAACATATCCGGCCTTTTCAGCCTCGGGATCTGCAGGGAAGGGAAGTCGCCCAGTGGACTTAGGACCGGACTACAAACCCCCCCTTGGAGGTGAGTGTTGCTGCAAAGCTTTTCCGTTTCCATGTGTTTCATTTCCCTTTGGTCTTTCACCCAGCAAACACTCCTGGCATCTGTTCCATAACTTTTCTCCACAGTTGTTCCCACTCAGTAAGTCCTGTAACACTCCTGCTGTGGTGCTCCTGCCTGGAGTGTCTGGCAAAACTCTCCAGGCATTCCCATGAGCAGATCTGCTTCCCATGGAGTTTTAAAGGGCTGCTGTGGTGCACAAGTGGACAATTATTTCAGTAGGAACATATTAGGAAGGAAAAACCTCCTGTTCCTCCTTCCCCTGGTTGCTGTTGGGGACACCTTGCCCTGAGGTAACGCTCAGTAGTGTTTGATAAAATTATTCTTTCAGGGCAAAGTGACTCCTTTAGGATTCTCATACTGAGTGTGGTGGTTTCTGGCTCTAAGGGGGTGCCTGTGGTATGGGGGTTTTAGCAAGATCCCAGAATAACTCTCCTTAGACTAACTGTTGAATTTCTATATGGTAACTATTTGAGTTGGCTGAACTTAGGTTTTGATAGGCCTGGTTGGGAATGGATCTATAAATCCTCTTATAGCTCAACAATTGTACAGAAGCACAGGTGACAAATGACAGAAAAATAAGCACTTCCCAGAGATCCAGGCAGACCAACCATCTCATCCTGCCCATCTATAGGATGCCAGACACCTTTGGTTTGCATTCCTTGCTTTTTCTATGCAGTAAATAACCCCTTTCTCCCATCTCAAACCCTCACAGGCAGTAACAGTCCCCATGGAAGTCCTACCTCTCCCCTGGACAGCAACATGCTCCTGGTGATCATCGTGTCCGTGGGGGTGATCACCATCGTGGTCGTGGTGATCGTCGCCGTCTTCTGCACCCGCCGCACGACCTCGCACCAGAAAAAGTAACAGCCCTTGCCCTGCCCTGCCTGTCCCACCTCATCCTGGCACCTCATCTTTTCTTGATCATGCTGTAGTGTTTATTCCTTTAAGTCTTCCAGGCTGTAGATGGTGAAGGTCCGTTTTTCCTAATCCATGTTCCAGAGTTACCAACCATCAGGAGTCCACACCCAAACTGGGCAATGCTCTCGTGTGTCCCTGCACCTGCCCCTCTCTCAGGAGAAGCTGCTGTTTAAAATATTGTTTCCAAACTGGAGCCAGTCCATCTCTTTGGAGCTGGGAGAGCTCCACAGCTCAGGCAGCTTCTCACTCCTGCTCTCAGCATGTCCTTCACTGTGTGGAGTTGGTGTACAAGCTGTGCATGATAATATCCAGTTTTTAGACAGATTACTGGAGTGGAATCTGAATCAGGTGCTGGACTCCTTAGGAAAGTGCTCCAAAATCCATACTATAGGTGTGTACCTGAATTCTTTCCTCATTTAGAGCACCTGAATCAAGCCCACAGCAGCAGTGCTCCCACTTAGAGGCTCCTGAAGGTTCTTTCTGCAAGTTCTTTGAAAGACCAGAGCTGAAAGCTGTATTTTAAGTTTAAAAAGATGCTGTTATGCAAAACAGATTTTTAAAAGCTAGGCTTGGAAGATAATCTCCACTTGCTTTGCTGAAGCTGAACCATCCTGCAAAAATGCAAGTTGTTCAGGAGAGGGAGCAGGGATGTGGGAATGTCTGGCAGCTGGGGGATGTGCTTGGGAGAGGGCAACACAGATGGGCCTGTGCCCCAGAGATGCATTTGATTTTCAAAGAGCAGAAACAGCCCTGTGAAACCTCAGTTTCTAAATGGCACCTCCCTTACACAGCAGCCCCCAGCAGTGAGTCACTCCTACTGTGTGCCAGGGGCTCAGCTGGGTCAGGGCAGGACGTGGGAGCACGTCTGGCTGGGAGTCACCTCCGTGGGAGGCTCTGCCCGCTGGTACTGAGCCATATCTGAGCCAGTTCTAGCAGTTGGGTCACCCAGAGGGAACACTTTCCCCCATCCTTGTGAGGAGCAAGTGTGGAGGGCAGTGCTAGAACCCTACGTTTTCCTTTTCCCAAATTCCACTGTCCCAAATCTCTGCCTCACCGTAGGTTCCTGCTGCTGCTGTTCAACAGCCATGAAAAGCTCCTCAGTCTGAGCAGTGCTGCAAGTGATGTTCGTGTCATTGATCCTCAGTGTTCACCATCCTGTTGGGATAACTGGCTGTTTGCACCCTCCCTCTCCAGCTCTTGCTGGAGCTGAGCCCGGAGCAGGGGCACAGCGTGGTGCACCTTCACTTCATGGCTGGAATGTTCTCTTAACAACCACAAGCACTGCAAACTCAGTTTTTGTCAGTGCAGACTTGGGCTGCAGAGCACAGGGCTGCAGGATGTGGGACCGCTGGGGACAAATTCATGGCATCAGAGTTGCAGGACGTGCTTTGAGATGTCGGCTGGGCTTGTGTGCAGAGTTCAGAGCGCCCTGCCCGGTGGGAAGGTTCTGCTCAGGGACACAGGATCTGAGGGAAATCCTTTCAACAGGTGAGGCTGACACCTAAGAACATCTGAGAACATCTCCTTTGTTTTCCCTCCCAGGAAACGTGCTGCCTGCAAATCAGTGAATGGCTCCCACAAGTACAAGGGGAACTCCAAAGATGTCAAGCCTCCTGACCTTTGGATTCATCATGAGAGACTGGAGCTCAAACCCATTGATAAGTCTCCAGATCCCAATCCCATCATGACAGACACCCCAATCCCTCGCAACTCCCAAGACATCACCCCAGTTGACAATTCCATGGACAGCAATATCCATCAGAGGCGGAATTCCTACAGAGGTGAGAGATCAACAAGTGCTTTGGCCATGAGGTGTTAAATACATTTGACTCTGAGTGGTGAAATCACTTTATTGAGATATTAGTTACTCTCTTTTGTTCTCATTTTTCAAGTAGTGAATTGGGTTCGTTCCTAGTTTCTAAGACTCCCTAAAAAGGATGGATCACATGTTGTAGTGAGGAAATTGAGTGCCCAGGAGTCAAATCATTATTTTCTCTTGGTAAATACTGGCTAGTAATTGGAACATCATCTAACAAGGGTTTTGAAATGAACTCCTGAGAGTTGTGTGTGACATCCTTTCAGCCCACAGCTGCAGTGCCAGAAGTTCAAGTTTGTATTGGGGCCTGGAGAGTTTCTCCAGTACCAAATAACTGTCCTCTTCTCACCTCCTGGTGGAGGATGAAAGAGCTGTTTTTATCAGTTGTGACTCACAGAACTGCAAACAGAACTAGAGAGAGGGGGGTTGAAGTGCTCAGGTGCCACAGGAGCTGCAGGTCAGTAACCCCAGTGTCTCTCCCTCAGGACACGAGTCCGAGGACAGCATGTCCACGCTGGCAGGAAGGAGGGGGATGAGGCCCAAGATGATGATGCCTTTTGATTCTCAGCCACCTCAGCGTAAGTCACCAGCCCCCCATTCCCGCTCCTGGAGTGGGGAGCGCCCAAACCAGCCACACTGATGCCACAAACAGGGACACCCACACCTTCCTGCTCACTGCTCCTGAGCAATTCCAGCCTCTCTGCAGTGGGAGCAGCTCAGAGGAGGCCCCAGAGCCCCCTATGGGAAAGGCAGAGTTAGACTAAGGGAAAAGGGGAAAAGGAGCAGCTGCACTGGAGTGAGGAGTGGGGGAGAGTCAGGAGTGTGTCCAGTGTCTGTCCACCCCACTCTGGTGCTTCCCAGGGAGAGCCTGTGGGCTTGGCTGCTTTTTGTAGCTGTTCCCTCTGAACTCTGCCAGTGCCCAGCTGTCCCACAGGAACTGCAGAGAGCTGCTCCATCTGCGGCAGGTTCTCAGCTGCTGGTTTTCTCCTCTCCAGCCCAAGCAGTCCCACGTTTTTAGCCTCCCCTCATGAGGCAGCTGCTCCATCCCCTGTAGCTCTTGAGTTGCCATTCTCAGAGCCTCCTCTGACTTTACTACGAGCTCCTTGGAATCTTTGCTCTCTCACTCAGCCCTGGGAGGCCCTTCTGGAGCTCCTGGCCACCAGAATGGCATTTGCCTACCCCAGAGACCTTAAAATTATTGACAAATGGGAAGATTTCTCTGATTGCTTCCATGTCTGCTCACTGAGAAGGAAAACTGATTAAAGCCAGTGCTGGCACTGCTACTTGGAATCTGCTGCTCACTCTCCTCTGTCTTGATAATCCACCATCAAGCCCCTTCCTTGGTTTTGTATCTGTAACCATCTTTCAGTCCATACAAGAGCCTTCCCTCAGCAGCAGCTTAATATTTGACCTTTGGAGTGGAGCCTTTTTGAAAATTCAGCTGGTTCCCTTTATTGACATATTTACTGACTTGAAACTCTGAGATCAGTGATTTCCTTTGCAGGAGTTGTGCTCACTGTTTTCTGGGTGACTCTGTTTACCCCTGCAGTGATCCTTCTCTGGTACCAAAGCTACTGCTATTATTGTGATGAAATATTTTAAGAATTAAACAATATATCTAGTTTTGAAATGAGGACTCCAAGATGGAAAGGGACTTGGCTGAACCTCTGAGCAGCCAGACTGAAACCCTGTGTGAGAACACAAGTAACAAGCACAGGAGAACACAGGAGTCAACGTGCATGGACAGAACTGGGAAGTGAAATTACACTGAGCTCCCCTGGGCTGAGCTTTAGACTTCTCTGAGCTCTGTGTGTTCATGTTCCACCTGTAGCCAGGGAACTGCTGCCACAGCCCCTTGGGTTAATAAGGAATGATTTCAGATTAGTCCCTTCTGTTTCCACTTTATAACTTTTTGCTTTAATTACCTGAAGTGAGCACTCTGTTTTCTTCCTCTCTACCTGCTTTTTCAAGTGTCCTGGTGACCTGATAAGCCCAGTTTGTGAATTTTCAACTGTTTCCTTGTTCTACAACCTTTTTACAAGAATAGCATCTTTTTTCTTGGTTTTACAATAAGCAGTCTGATGTTCCTCGTTGTCTCCCATTTTTTCCATGTACAAGGAGGGAGCAGAGGATGCAGTTTTACACTAATAATCCTTACTCTGATTACTTCCTTCCAAGTTGATTTGTGTCAGACGCGGTGTCCCACAGGGACACTGAGCTGTGGGATTCTGCTGAGTTCCTGTCCCATGCCAGGCACTAGGACATAATGGAGGCAGACCTGGGTGACCCCATAACAGATTGAGGCAGCAATAAGTGTTACCTTGCACTCTCCTAAGTGTTTTTCTCTAAATGGGATGCAGCACTGGACACACACAGGATAAGATAAACTCATACAGGATCACAAGATGCTCCATAAAAACAGTGTAGCAAAGGAAAAACTCACAGCAAAGACACTCAACAACCTACATATCAGTCCCACACAGGATGATACACATTTTTGGGAGGCAGTAATTCCAGTTGTACCTGCTGGTTGTGTTCAGGCTGATGTGATAATTGTGGCAGATACAGCCATGGATGTGATTTCCCTGCAGCACCAGCCCCGGCTCTGACAGCCCTTTGTGATGCCAGTCCTGCTGTGTTCCCTGGAAAAGCCTGGCTGATTCCCTCTCTTTCTTAGCCATTGCCTTGCCCAGGGAGAACAAACCAGGCCCAGGCACAGCTGGCTGGGGTGGGTGGGATGAGGAAGGAGGTGCAAGGTCTGCTGGTGCCTCAGGGCTTGAGGTTGTTTTAGTGACTTTGACTTTTTATCCTGTTTTCAAGAGCTCTGAGGGCCTCCAGCAGTAGGTTTATGTTTTATAGTAACTGGAAACATTAATATAATGTCATTTAGGCTTTGCAGAAGCTCCACAGGAGGCTCACAGTGGTATGTGAGGCCCTTTCTCAGGAAGCACCACCAGGACCATTCCGTGTGTTTAACTCTGAGCCTGCAGACACCTTCCCATGGCTTCCCCCCAACTGGAGCACTCAGATCTAGTTATTTACCTCTTAGGTACTAATTTAGGATAATTCAGTCTCTTCCATTTTAGCATAATTTGCAGTAATGGTGTGTACCAAGTGAGCTCCTTCTTTGACTACTGAAATACAAAAATCCTGGAAGGATATGAGGAAGCAAAGGGCTGTTTCTTTTTTAACACACACACTATATGTGGATAGTAGATCTATATTCTCTCTATTCTTCATCTGAACTTTTCTCTTCCTTGAAATCAAACGGTGCATCCTGATGTGAATTAAATTGCTGGTACTGCTTTTTGGCCTGTAATCAGGTGATGTTTTTGTCCTGTACATGACTCGGGTCTGATGACCCAGGAGTTTAAGGTGGATTGTGAACCAGCTGAGGGTCTGGCTCCCCTGCTGAGTGGCTGTGTGGGGAAGGGAGGGGTGTGGTGCCTTTCAGTCCACAAACACTGTGTGTGTGTTAAGTGTTTCTCTGTCTTGTGTTCATCCACAGCTGTGATTAGTGCTCATCCCATCCATTCACTCGATAACCCCCACCACCATTTCCACTCCGGCAGCCTCGCCTCTCCAACCCGCAGCTACCTCCACCACCAGCCCAGCCCCTGGCCCCTGGGCACAGCCTTGTCCCACTCAGACAGGGCCAATTCCACAGGTGAGACACAAACCACCAGGGGTGTGTTGCTTTCATGGAACCGGGAGCGAAACATGTGGAAATCAAAGCCTGAAACTCGGTCAGTCCCCACTGTGGTGCTCCATGAGGTTTAAGGACGTGGGTGTAAGTGCAGACAAAATCCTGGACAGGTTGAGCTTACTTGTGCAGATCCTTGAGGCACATGAACAAACAGGAGGCTCCCTTATGCTAAAGCCTTCAGCCCTGAAACACCAGATTAAATCTGAGCTACTTAATGTGGTAACTTTTTCCCTAGTTTGTACTATTTCAAACCAAGAGAGGAGAAAGGTCCAGTCTTGGCTACCGAGAGCTGACATTTGTTAACCTTCCTGAAGGACACAGAAAATGGGGGTGATTTCCATGCAGTATTTTCAGGCCTGAAGCACAATGAATTGCAGTAGTTTCTGCAATGTCTCCAGTGCTCTGAAGATTTCTGAAGCCACACTGTTGCTAAATTGCACATGGGTAAAATGTCAAGTTGGAGGGAAATCTGAGCTTTTCTAGCTTAAGGTCAACCATCTAAGGTGTCGTAGCCAAAAGTGTTTCCTTATGAGAACAATTCCTGAGGCTGCAAGGACACAGGGAGGCAATATGTGAGAGGCAGAGGTTTATACCAGTGAAGTGACAGCTCCCACAATCCAGATCCTTTCTTGCCTGTGCTCCAAGTAGGATCACGACGCCCTGAATGTAAGATACCATCTCATTGTTCTCTTAGGTCAGCGTGGAGCCTGCTGCAAACACAGCAAGCCTGGGATTTCATTTGAGCTTGAGCTTTCAGCAAGTAGGAAGAAATTCTTAGGAAGAAGTTCTTCCCTGTGAGGGTGGTGAGGCCCTGGCACAGGTTGCCCAGAGAAGCTATGGCTGCTCCATCCCTGGAAGTGTTGAGGGCCAGGTTGAATGGGGCTTGGAGCAACCTGGGATAATGGAAGGTGTCCCTGCTTATAGCAGGGGATGGAATTAAATGATCTTTAAGATCCCTTCCAACTCAAACCATCCTGTGACTCCAGGTAAATGGATTTCAAGCCTGTCTCAGAAAAAACTCAGGCTCCTGTGTCTGCACTAGTGCTTGGTGTGAACCTTAAATTACAGATTTAGTTACAAATGCCAGTACTATGAGATGCTCAAGGGCAGAAGGAGAACGAAGGTTTGTGTTCTCTGCTGTTTATCTGAGAGCTTTCTCCATGGAGCTGTTTCAGTGCAGAACTGTTGATTTGCTCTTGGTGGGGGTGTGGAATCATTCAGTTCTCAGCTCGTATTACTAGAGAGCCATCGTTCACTGTAAAACAGGGCAGTCACACAGAACTGGGGTTATATCTGAATTCCCTCAGTAGCCTGTAACAGTGACTCTGGAAAAGGTGCTTCCCAGTAGCCTGCTGTGTTTCCATGTGCCCCAGAGGCCGTTTCTGAGCAGCCAGTAACTGCAGTGTGTGTGTTGCAGAGTCCGTCCGGAACACGCCCAGCACGGACACGCTGCCGGCGCCCTCAGCCCCGCCGGGCACCGACCACCAGGACCCCGAGGGCTCCACGGGCTCGTACCTGGGCACTGCCCAGGAGGAGGACCCTGCCCAGGGCCTGCCCACCGCCCACGTCCGCCCGTCACACCCGCTCAAGAGCTTCGCGGTGCCCGCGGTGCCCCCGGCCGGGGCCTCCTACGACCCTGCCCTGCCCAGCACCCCCCTGCTGACCCAGCAAGGTGAGGGGGACGGGCACCGCTGCCAAAACTGGGGGGTTTTAACAGGGAAGGTCCTTGAGGGGCGGGGGGTGGAGTTGGGCATCCAAGGCAGTGTGTCAGAGGCTGCAGTGAGTTCTGTCGGTGTCATTTCAGGGCCTTTTTCTGTACGTAAATAAATTGGACAAAAATTCGGATCCAACGCTCCAAAGTTTAAGTGTTCACTTTCCTCTAATACAATCTTTCTCATCATAGAATCATGATAGAATGGTTTGGGTTGGAAGGACCTTAAAGCTCGTCCAGTCCCACTCCTGCCATCCAACCCATCCAGCCTGGCCTTGGACACTTCCAGCCTCTCTGGGCAACCTGTGCCAGGGCCTCACAGGGAAGAATTCCTTCCCAATATCCCATCTAACCCTGCCCTCCTTCAGTTTAAGGCCGTTCCCCCCGTTCTTATTCTCTTCCTTTCTGATTAAGCCCAAGAACCAATTCCCTGAGGCCTGACTCTCTGACCATTGGTTTCCAGCTCCCACCCACCCCGTTCACTCGGTGAAGACCGCGTCCATCGGAACTTTGGGAAGGACTCGCCCTCCCATGCCCGTGGTCGTTCCCAGTGCCCCCGACGTGCAGGAGACCACCCGGATGCTGGAGGACTCGGAAAGCGTAGGTACTTCCACTGCCAGGCCTGGCCTTGCAGTGCTCACAGACTGGGGGGAGGGCTCTCCTTATTTGTGTCACACTTGGAAACTTCTGGAATTCTGCACTGACGCTTTCAAAGGCAGAAGGTCACAAGGCTCCAAACTTCCAACACCTCCATTGCCTGTGAATCCATATAAAAAGTACAGGAGAAGCACCTTCTGCACAGGGCAGGGTCCTGTTACAGCCCTGCTGCTGCAGAGCATTCCCAGTGTCACTGCACGTGGAACATTTGGCACTAATGCCAACATGTTTTAAGCATCATCCCAAATATGTTTGTAGACTCTCTGTGAAAGTGTTCTGACTTTTGGGAAAGATGCAAACACCTGTTGGGCTGCTTTTGGGAGTATCTGCTAAGGATGTTGAGGATGTTTTGGGTGGGAGGCACTGGAAGAGCTGTTTTCCTTTCAAATTGCAAGCCAAGAAGTTTCTCCAGTAGCTACTGGATCACTAGAATCATATATTGTCTTCAGTATCACACAGGTATTAGCTCTGATCACTGCTACAGGAAATGATTATTTTGAATTTATTTTACTTTTTTTCCTCATTGTCCTTTTCATTTGTCACATGTTTTTGTTGCCCTCTTGATTTTCTTTCTGCGTTTGCTGGTCTAGAAACTTGATCTGGTGCCCTTTTGCCCTTCTGTCTAGATGTCACTCCTGCTTTATTTGTTTTGTTTGGTCAGTACCAAACCCTTACTAATTAGTTTATCCATCAATACATTGGTAATATTCAAATAGAGCCATTAATAAATATGTTCATTGATAAATTAGTACAAGGTAGAGTCAGCACACTAAATACTAGTTAAATTAAATTGCTAGTTTAAGTATGAGTTTTGAAAATTAAATTATAATTTGAATTAAGGGGTTTAGGGTTAGGTAGTGATTTGAATTAACTCTATTTTTTTATGAGAGCCTGTAGGAATGAGTTTACTTTCAGCTGCTGCTGTTTATCATTGTCAGATAACGTGTTGGACCCAGGGCAGGGATGACTTTTCTGGTACAGTCCAGATGTTGGATAAACTGGAAGTTCATTGCCATTTAAATTAGGAGAAGGTTTGTCTCTAGAAGGAAAGGAAGTGAGAGCAGGGTCAGGGTTGAAAACTGCACAGAACTGGGAAGGACTTGGTCAGAAAAGGTTTGGAGCTGCCGTGGTTGGTGGTGTGTCTGCACACAGGCACTGATCACAGAGGTGATGGCTCATCAGTGCAGCTGAAACTGGACCTCTGAGCCTAAGACACTGTGATTTCAGGGAGGGTAACGATTCTCAAAACATTTCTTTTGAGATGATTCCTTTGACCTGCTTTCCGGTTAAGCTGGGAAGACTTTTCTAAACTGCCTACTCTGGTTGAAAGGCAGCTGTTCCCTTCAGGGATTGAGACAAGGAAAACAGATCAGCTGATCATGGTTTATTCAGTGGGACTCTGCATCACAACTGCCCAAAGAGCTGCACTGAAAATAGAATCAAAGAATAGAATATGCTGAGCTGGAAGGGACCCACAAGGATCATCAGTCCCTGTCCCTGAGAGCATTGTCCAAACCCTCCTTGAGCTCTGGCAGCCTTGGGGTCGTGCCCACTGCCCTGGGGAGCCTGTTCAGTGCCCAACCACCCTCTGAGGGAAGAACCTTTTCCTACTATCCAACCTAAACCTCCCCTGGCACAGCTCCAGCCACTCCTTAGAGTGTTCTTTCAAGTTATTAATTCCTGTAACTGTGGCTAAATCCAATCTATGTGTGGTTATTCCTGAGTCAGAGCCGTATCCCACAGCAGTCCCTGACCATTCCTCTGTGTTTCCTGTCCTGTTCCTCCCTAAGGAGAGCCAAGGCCCCTGTAGTAACCCTCTCCCTCTCCCCAGACCTACGAGCCGGATGAGCTGACCAAAGAGATGGCCCACCTGGAAGGACTGATGAAGGACCTCAATGCCATCACCACGGCGTGACCACCTCCCCGGGACATGACTCCAAACCGCTCCGCAAGTCGTGGGACTCAGCCTTGGAACGCAAGGAATTGTACAGAGGAAAAAAAAAAAAAAGGAAAAAAAAGAGAAAAAAAAAAACAAACAACAAACCAGAAAGAGGGACAGCACATGAGAGCAATGTGGGAAGGAGAGGAACCAACCAGAGGGGACCTGTGTGTCACCGTCCTGCAGTGAAGTCTTGGCCCTGTGAATTCCAGTCCCCTGTGGGCCGGGCGGGCTGGGACACACCAGGCTGGACTCCAGACACAAGGAAAGCAAACGGACTCGCCGTTAGTTTTGTTCTGGTCAGGTTTTGTCTCAGTGGTGTGATTGCCCTGCCTTTTCAGTGTTGGACATTGGCATTTATGTACAATTTTATTTGTGTTTTTATTTTATCTTTTTTTATAAAAAGGAAAAAAATATTGTAATTAAAAAAAAAAAAAAGGGAGAAACTGTTGTTTTCCACAGCCTAGGCTGAGGTTTGACTGCTTGTTCTATTGTGTATGGAAATTCATTGCCAGTGTGGGTTGTTCTGTTTTGTTTTTTATTCTGCGTACAACTACGTCCCCTTCTGGCAGTTAATCCATGGCCTTTTGGGATGCTGCACTGCTCTTTGTAAGCTTTTTTTATTATTTTTATATTATAATTATTAAAAGCCTGACTTTCTCCTCTCATCACTGTGAGATTACCAGTCTGTTTGAATTGAAATGTAATTTGAAAGGCTTGTTTGTCGCTTTTTGTGCAGTTTCAATATTTTGAGTGGGGGGGAAAGTAGCTGGGGAAGGGGAGGGGGTCCAGGGGGAGGGGTCATTCCTGTTGTTTTCATGTCTTTCTCCAGTGACTGGAAAGACTGAAGAACACGAAGCATCTTCTGTAACGTCCTTCCTTGTCCCTTTAGCATCACTGTGTCTCTGGTCACTGAACTGCAGTGAGAGTCTCATTTAGAAACATTGCCAGAACTTCCTCCTGTAAATTGGGGTTCCTTTTGCTTAGATGACACTACATGCAGCTTATTTTGGCAACTGTTTTGTTGTTGTTAGCTAAAGATGCATCATGAACCTTGCAAGTGCAGAGTGAGGGCTCAGCACAGGCCCCAGGGCTGGGGTGGAGCTCCCTGGGCTCCCAGAAGGAGAGAGCTGGGGCCCTTCCATCCCCACACACCACATCCTGCCTGTGGGAACACTCCCTGCCCACAGCAGCACGTCCAGCCCCAGTGCAGTGTCTCCATCCCGGGCCACTCAAACAAGGGCCAGCTCTGGAGTGTTCCCCAGAGACAAAAACAAGGCAAAAATGTATTTTTTTACACTTTGGAAAACCATGTAAAAAGAAAACCAGTATTAGTGACTCAGGTGCTGTTCACACATCTGTCTGGAAAGGAAGGGAAGGTCAAAGGGAAGGACAAGGGTTTTCCTTTTCTCCATGTGTGATTGCCTGGCTCTGCCCTTCCCTGGAAAGGGGCTGCAGCTCAGTAAAGTAACCAAACCCACCCCCAGGTGCCTGATGAACTCGTGTGCAATTCCACTGCCAGAACAAAAGGAAACTCCAACTTACTGCTGGTTCACAGGGGAATCTGTTCCTCCTGGGATTTGGGATCTCGGGGACAGGCAGGTCTGGGTGTTTTGGGGACCCTGCTGTGGCTCTGCCAGGGCTGGGCCTGTGGGAATGCAGGAACAGCAGGAGGGAATGCTGGAACTGCTGCAGCTCCAGTAACAAACAGGAGTTCTGCTGCTTTTACTTTGTTCCCCACTGAACTGAACTAAAGCTTCTCGTCTCCAAGAGAGGGGAGAGCCATGGAATCACCTGGAGAGCAGCTGGGATGGTGCTGTAGTGTCACTTCCTTTCTTTTCCTGGACTCTGTGTTGTCATTTCTGGGACATTTCCTGCCTTTATTTATTCTTTGAGGGAGGGGAGGGAATCAAATTAATTGGGGCACTGTAGGCCACCTGGATAACTGATGTTTGGACTTTTAATCAGTACAATTCAGGGCAAAATAAGCTACAGAATATGTGTTTAAAGAATAAAAATGCACACCCTGACCTGGAAGGAGGGTGTGAACCTTTTCCTTTGCCTATTTTTTACCTGTACCCAAAGAAATACCATCCTACAAACACAGTATTCCTGGCTGGGGGGGGGTCTTTGTGAATATTCCTTATGTATAACACCATGAATGTTAATATTGTCATTGAATTTGGGGAGGGGGAATATTTTTAATGATAAAACAACTGTTCAAAGTTGGTTTTTTAAGGTTAAACTGAAAAAAAAAAGAAAAAAAACATTTATTCAATTCAGTGTACAATCTGTATTGCACTTTTTCACATTTTAATGCTACGTTTTCTTACATATCCTGTGATTTTAAATTTGGAACATTGTGTATCCTTGTAGTGTCATAGTCAAGCTGTTGAGTGACAGCTTCCCTCAGACATTTGGGGAAAAAAGAACCAAACCTGTATATTGTTTTATGATTCTCATGTAGAATAATTTTGAGGGCTGCTGTAGACGTCGACCTTTCTGTACAATTTTTTTTTTTTGCTTTTCTGTAGTATTTGCTGTATCCTCTATGGCTTTTTTTAATAACTTCATGTTTATTATTTGGTATTGGACATCCAATACACTTTTTTTAATCCAATCAAATTCTGGGCTGCTTGGAGAGTTTGTTTAATTATTCCTAATCGATACAGGGACCAGGTTTGGAATTTTACTTGCCCTTTTTGTTGCTGTGGGTTGGTAAGTTGTGTCCTCCAGAGAAGGAAGAGGAAAATTGTTACTCTCCCTCAATCTTTGTGCAGACACTGAACATGTAACCTCTGCCTTCCTTCTATTTCAAAGGTAAAAAATACCACCTTTTAATAAGCAAGTAGAGAAGGAAGGGGTTCACATCAGGGGAAGGACATTTAGTAGCCTTAATAAACTGGTAAATAATGAAAAATAATACTATAATCATGGAATAGAGTGCTTTGTCTGTACCTTTTGAAGTACAGCGATGGGTATCCGTGTTGCTCCCCTCGTGCTGACTCCAGCCTCCTCCTCTCATACTGGGGACTCCCACTGGTCATCAGCCACTTTCCCGGTCACTCGTGTCCTTGGGAGCATCATCCTGACCCCTGCAAACAGGAATTATGCTCCTGCAGGCTTTACAGCCCCTGCTCCCCTCGTTGTTCATCAGATCTCTCTGTTTACCCATTAAATTGTGCCCCCCACACTGATGTCTCGGGTGGGAAGGGACTCCCAAATCCTCCTGAAGGGGAGCCAGGACCTGCAGCTGGGCAGGGATGTCACAGCCATGCCAGAGCTGGGGGCTGTGCAGGGATGTGTCCAGGGGAGGAGAAATGGGGAGCAAAGGCATTGGGAGTGTCCCAAGGCACAGCCAGGACACAGACAGGCAGATTAAAACCCTGCCCTCTATTTACTGACCTTGAGCTCTGAGCAAGGTGTCCCTGCCCATGGCAGGGGTTGGAATGAAATGAGCTCTAAGGTCCCTTCCAACCCAAACCATTCTGGGGTTCACATGGAATCACTGAGGTTGGAAAAGACCTCCAAGGTCAGCGACTCCACCCTGTGCCCCATCCCCACCTTGTCCCCCAGCCCAGAGCACTCAGTGCCATGCCCAGTCATTCCTCGGACACCTCCAGGGGTGGGGACTCCACCACCTCCCTGGCCAGCCCCTTCCAATGCCTGACAGCCCTTTCCAGGAAGAAATTCCCCGATGTCCAACCTGAACCTCCCCTGGCACAGCTTGAGGTTGTTTCGTCTCCTCCTGTCCCTCGTTCCCTGGGAGCAGAGCCCGACCCCCACCCGGCTCCCCTCCTGTCAGGGAGTTGCAGAGCGAGAAGGTCCCCCCTGAGCCTCCTTTTCTCCAGGCTGAGCCTCCTTTTCTCCAGGCTGAGCCTCCTTTTCTCCAGGCTGAGCCTCCTTTTCTCCAGGCTGAGCCCCCTTTTCTCCAGGCTGAGCCTCCTTTTCTCCAGGCTGAGCCTCCCCAGCTCCCTCAGCCGCCCCTCACAGCACTCGTGCTCCAGGTTCTACGATATAAAGTGAGTTTATCTCGCTGGCCAGTGGAGATAACTCCCGGTGCTGCTCTGCCCGTCAGTCCGGCTGACAGAGGGTGGGTTTGTGCCGTTCTGAGGCAGGTGACAGGTGACACCTGCTGTTCATGTCACAGGGCTGTGGCACAGCCCGGGGACACCAGATGGCAGCGGTGACTCGCTGGTGAAAGGCTGCAGCTCACACGGAGCCCGCACGGAGCTGCAGCCGCCTGGAAGGGAATCGCTGCTGAGGAGCCTCGCGTTAGCGCTGCTGCTCCTCAGCGGCAGCTCAGGGAAGAACTCGAGCTGCAAATTACACCTTTTCCACGCCTGGCTCTGGCTTTCCCTGCCAGCGCTGTGGCTCCCAACACAGAAGGAAGGGGCTGCCTCAAACACCTGCAATAAATTGGTGCAACACTTGCAGGCTTTTTCCCATTAAGAGCAGCCATCCATCTCCACATGAACTGAGGCTGGATTTAAACCACATTCATCTCAATAAAAGCAATCCTGCAGGGGCTCGACAGGATGTAACTCAACAGCCTTTGCCAAAAATATTAACCATTACAACTTTTCATAGGGGCCCAGAATGGTTTGGGTTTAGGAAGGAACTTAAAGCTCATCTCCTTCCACCCCCTGCCATGGGCAGCAACACCTTCCACCAGCCCAGGTTGCTCCAAGCCCTGTCCAACCTGGCCTTCAACACTTCCAGGGATGGGGCAGCCACAGCTTCTCTGGACAACCTGTGCCAGGGCCTCCCCACCCTCACACCCAACAATTCCTTCCCAATATCCCATCTATCCCTGCCCTCTGGCAGTGGGAAGCCATTCCCCCTTAGCCTGTCCTTCCATCCCTTGTCCCAAGTCCCTCTCCAGCTCTCCTGGAGCCCCTTTAGGCTCTGGAAGGGACTCTCCCTGGAGCCTTCTCTTCTCCAGGTGAACACCCCCAGCTCTCCCAGCCTGTTTCTGTGGGATCAGGGCTCTCCTAATCCAACACAGGCTCCAGCCAGGTTACACATCTCCCCTCACTACACAGTATCAGCTGTGGGACTTTTCTAAGCCAAGCTCTGAGCTGCAGAGTGCCTCTCTAGAACCTTCCAAAAGCAGACACAGCAAAATTCCTGCCTCCAGAGGAGCTTCCCAGCTCTCCAGAGTGCTGCTCCCTGGAAATCCAGGGGACAGACATCACATGCAGGGCTGACAGGGCAGAGGCAGCAGCAGGAGCAGCAGATTTGGAAAAGGAAAGTCAGCCCTTGGCAGGCACAATGTGGAAAAGTGTCCATGAGAACACGCATATAGAAGAGAAAGAGTGGAAAACATCCACAAATTCAGCCTTGTGAAAAGGCAGGGAAAGCCTGAAAGCCAAAGGGTGCCAGGGAGACAGACTAAAATCCAAAGAGGGGGAGAAAAAAAGCCTTCAGCCTATTAGAATGCTGTTGGACCCCCTTGCTGTGAGGAAAGGTGTTCTTCACCAGCTGAGAGTGACTCTCTGACCCTGCACAGGTACCTCCACAGGGCTGGAAGCAGCTGCACTAGGACAATAACCTGCTCCCTGTCCTTTGGTAACCAAGAATCAACTTTTCCTGGTTGCTTCCCAATTTCAGCTCCTGTTTCCCAGCCTTCTTCCAGCACTCACTGCCTTTCCTCCAGCTCTCCCTCTCCACAGGCACAGTGTCCATGAAATCTGACTCCCACAGGGCTGAAACTTGGAGCAAATGCTGATTTTCCTTGATAATTCCTTAGGAGGAAGCCCTGTTCCCCAGGCAGGCTGTCTCAGGACATCCCCCCCTCAGGTAGGTGCTCTGAGTTGGTCACGGGGCCAGTTCAAGCACAGATGCACCAGTGACACCAGTGCAGCCTTGGGAATGGGAGGTGCTGCTGCTCCAGGGGCTGCAGAGCCCTGTCCCTGCCCCACACACCCCTGGGCAAAGCCTCCTGCCCCACACACCCCTGGTCACAGCCTCCTGCCCCACACACCCCTGGTCACAGCCTCCTGCCCCACACACCCCTGGGCAAAGCCTCCTGCCCCACACACCCCTGGTCACAGCCTCCTGCCCCACACACCCCTGGTCACAGCCTCCTGCCCCACACACCCCTGGGCAAAGCCTCCTGCCCCACACACCCCTGGTCACAGCCTCCTGCCCCACACACCCCTGGTCACAGCCTCCTGCCCCACACCCCCCTGGTCACAGCCTCCTGCAGCAGCCCCAGCATGGGTAAGCCTGGGAGAGTTAAACGAGGCACGCAGAGATGTGGCAATAAAATCATCACACATGAACTTAATCCAGATCAGCAGGACTCACCCTCAGCAGGCTGCAGGCAGGGCAAGGCTGGGCTGCCACAGGCTGTGTCCCTTTTTCATTTTAGGTTGGCTGTCAGTGCCTCCACCTCCTGTAACTTCATCTTCCCCTAGAGATGAGGTGGGGTCTTCAGTCCTGGGCTGCAAAGCTGAGGGGAAAAGAAAGAGAAACCCCATTAGTGACTTCAGTAGTTGTCCCTGGCTGGTGGGTCCTGACAGAGCTGGAGCATCCAGGCAGAGGTGTTGGAAAACCCTGACCTGAGTTCAGACCCCCTCAGGACCCTTTCAAAGGGAGCACGAGGCCGCTGCTAAGGCCGACCCCCAGGTCCCATCCTGCAGCAGGACAGGGGGACTGGGGAGGGGGCAACACCCGGCAGCACCCGGGGGGGCTGCTGGACCCGGGTTTGTGATCAGACACACGCCCTGTGCCCTGGCCAGGGAGAGCCCGGAGAGGGGCTTCCCCACGGAAACCAGGGATGGCTGCGTTCCCGACAGCATCCTCTCGGATCCTGTTATCTCTGCGCGTGAGGAAAACACCAGAGCCCATCTGTCCTCGGTGGGCACCGTCGCCATGGTAACAGCATCCGCTCCATCCATCCCGGCTCTGCGGAGGACGGCGGGGCCGGAGCTCCCTCCCGCACAGGGGTTTCCCTGGCAGCTGCTGCTGCTTTATCAGGCACATCCCTGCTCCCACACCGATCCCATCAATCTGTCTGCCGTAAGGATGTGGAGCCTGGAAACAAAAAATCCCTGTCGCTGGAGAAGGGCACTGAGCAGCTACCAGGGAAACCTTCTCAAGGGCTTTCCATCACTCCCATATGGTGCCCTCTCCCAGCACCCCCCAACCTCGAGGGCTGTCCCCCAGCAGCTGGACCATATCCTGCCCTCCCCACTTTCACCCCTTGGCTGCTCCTTCAGGTTTCTCCATCCCCTTCCGAAGAACCACACAGCCCTCACAGCATCCCCATGCCCCGGAGACCAGGCTGGAGGCACAAGGAGGTGCTTCACAGGGGCTTCCATGGCTGCATTCCCTCCTGGATCCCTATGGATTTGCTGCCCTCCCTTGCCCAGGTCTGGGCACCAGCACAGATAACTGGGGTGGTTCTTCCCAGTTGGGAAAAACAGGAAAAAAACTCGGCTGGTGCAGCCAGTGCTGGGAAAGTGGGGCTGGAAGTGCAGGGAAGGTGGGGAAGCCAAAAAGGATAAGGCATGCCCAGACATGGGGCTGGGGGGGAAATGCTGCCCTGTCCTGGCCCCAAACCTGTGGGCATGGAGGGGACCCCAAAGACATGGCACACAGCCCAGGTACCAACACAC